CTGTGCTTGTTTATAGTAAAAAGGATTAGAAGAGACAAGCCATTAGCTGAACTGAGGTTTCTCCTGAGAATGAGCAGCAGGATCTAATCTGACAAAATGTTTCTATATGATGTTTCCTGACATGATATTTGGTTTTGGGTATCTGTTACTTTGGCACTATTCTTGTTTGCCTTTTTTCATTTTTGTCAATGTACTATACCTCAGTCCTACTGAAAAGACAGAAATCTGATCGAAAAAAGAGTCATAGAAACAATAAGTAAAATAATTTGTTTTATGACTTATCCTCCATGTCCAGTTTGGTTAGCTTGTTATGCAATATAAGTGAACTATCAGGTTTTTACTCTTGTGCCCTTTTACCATTAAAATTAACACAAAAATTGCAACAACAACAACAAAAAAAAAAAAAAGAAAGAAAGAAAAGAAAAAGAAAAAAAGAATGAGCAGCAGGAAACTGCACACACCAGTGGCAGAAGAGGGTGCAGCAACAATTCCATTTCAGAGTGGTCTTTCCACGTTTCACAGCTCCAGTCCATACACAGTTGGTCCACTGAGGGCATCAAAGCAAACCTCCTGGGGATGCTCAAACCAGTTCACTAATCTAGGACCACCTGCCTGAGGGCCTGCTGTCTGGATACACAGTGAGTAAAGGAAGTACGTAAAAGTAGGGCAATGGCTTTCACAGGGTGTTCTCAGCGGCTCCCAAATCTGGCATTATTTCATAAGTTTGTTTTGAAAAAAATGCATTTATTTCCTAATCCTTGGCCTTTGGAAAACTACTAAGTTAGAATTTAGAGATGTCTGGAAATCTGATTTTTTGTGTGTTTTTTTATGACAAACCGCCTGAGTATTGTTGATGACAAGCCGTGTCTGTGAACCATGGCTATCTTATATAATAAAAGGCTAATATGCAAATTAATCGAACAGTGGAACAACCGGTTGCTATGATGCACACTGACCACCAGGGGGAAGATGCTCAAAGCCAGAACTAGGCTCACAGCTCAAGAGCCCAGCAGCAGTGGCAGGAGCCTCCCCAGCCTCTGCAGCAGCACTAAGGATGTCTGACTGCCAGGGAGTGGGCCTAAGCCATCAGTCAGACATCCCCCAAAGGCTCCCAGATTGTGAGAGGGCACAGGCTAGGCTAAGGGGCCCCTCTCCCTCAAGTGCAAGAATTTTGTGCACCGTACCTCTAGTTCTCATATAATTCCCTTTGTAACTTTACAAAGTATTAGCAGCTCCATTTTAAAGATGAGAAAGCTGAGGATCAGCAGGAGGAAACTGCTCAAAGCAACACCACTGGTAAAGAGCCTTAGCTGGCATCAAACCAAGTTTGGTGACCACTATACATACCCAGAGCAACAGAGCATCTCGAGACCACTAACTACTCACATGCACGTTTTGGAAACAGACGACAAGTTTTTGGCATGGTCTTTCCTCTGTCAGAACTCCTCCTGTTAACATGAGGAGCTCATGGTGCTCCTGGCCTCCTGAGATTTGTAAACCCTATACTCACCCCCACCAAAATCCTATCTGAACTAAGCCTTCCTCCCTCAAGAACTGGGTATTGTCTGGCCGGCATGGTTCAGTGGTTGAATGTTGACCCATGAACCAAGAGATCACGGTTTGATTCCCAGCCAGGGCACATGCTTGGGTTGTGGGCTCAATCTCCCTAGAGGGTGTGCAGGAGGCAGCCGGTCAATGATTCTCTCTCATCATTGATGTTTTTATCTCTCCCTCTCCCTTCCTCTGAAATCAGTAAAAGAATAAAAAAAATTAAAAAAAGAAGAATTGGATATTTATGATCCATGTAAGCTGGAGGCAGAAAGTAAACCTGTTAGGCTTTCCCAGATAGTGTCCCACCTTCTTTCCTGGTGGCAAAGACCAATTTTATCATCCCCCAAGGCCATCCAACCACCTCCCACTGCTGCCATGAAATTCATGTATTCAAAAACTGCTTGTATGACATAAATCATCCTACCTTAAAAAAGATCTGTAATTACCAATCAGTGCTTTGATACATGGGGCATAATTAAAGTGGACACGGGTCCATTCAAATGCAAAGAAACTTGTTTTTGTTAGTCTGCACAGCCCGCTTGGGGTTATACGTACATATTTCCCTTTAAACTCCTTAAAATGATAAAAAAAAAAAAAAAAAAAAAAAAAAAAAAAAAAAAAAAAAAAAAACTTGCAGAAAACAAAGGATGGCTGGGATCCTATTGTAGGGATAACTGTCACTAATGGAATCATTACAACAGTGACCATTTCACCCTCAGTGGAGAGAGGATTTTACTACGGGGCTTTGCCCCAGGAATGGCCATATACTGTGCTGTGCATAGGACCTGCCCTGCATTAATTCACAAAGAGTTTGGGGGAAGATGATGTAGAATGGAGACATCAGGGTTAAAAACCCAACGTTCAGATTTTCTCAGATGCACCACCTATCGGGGAAATAATGGGGCTCCCCTCTATGGGGTTCTCAAACTTGAGTGCTCCTGAGACCCACGGAAGGAGCTCGTTATAAAATCATATTGCCAGCGTCAGCTCCCAGAGATGCCAATTCTTCCATCTGAACCAGGGTTTGGGATTCTGCATTTTCAATAAGCACCTCAGGGGATTCTGATGCAAGTTTTGTGGGGGGGTTTTTTCCCCCCTAAACCTTCTATTTGAAAAAAACTCTCAAACCTTAGGAAAGCCCCAAGAGCAGTACAATGAACAGCAGTATACCCTTCAGGGAGACCAAGGGTCAGCCAACTTTTTCAGTAACGGAACACATAGGAAATATTTCTGGCTCTGCAGGCCATACATGTAGTCTCTGTGGCAACGGCTCAAATCTGCCATTAAATATGCAAGTCGGTCAACATGTGAGCAAATGAGTGTGGCTCCCTTCCAGTGCAACTTCATTCATGGACACAATTTTCACATCATAAATTCCTCCTCTTCTTGACTTTTTCCAACATGTTGTAGTTAAAGATGTAAAAAACCGTTCTTAGTTCAGAACTGGTACGAAACCAGTCAGGGGGACAGGTCTGGCCTACGTGGGTAAGTCTGGCAAACCCTGAGAGTCAACTATTGTCATCAGGTCTGAGCTTTTTCCTGAGGATGAACCTTAAATTTGTTAGCGCTTTTCATACCCAGAGTAATCACACTGTCTATCTGAAAGGGGGAAGAGGGGGGCAGGGAGCAAATCTATGAAGTTGTTTTCTGACCTCCTTATTATATTTTCAGATAGAACCTTTTCATTACTTGCTTTGGCTGATGCTTTTGAATGCCCTGTGGGGCATAGTTCCTCACTTATATTGTAAATCTTCATAGTTTGGTCATTCTTGAATTTTATCACATTAAAAAAAAAAGTGTGAGTGCCCTTCCCCACAACCCCAGGGCCTAATTAGCATCCTTTTTTCAGCTTCTCTCTCAGATTGAAGATAAATGAGGGTAAAAAAAACCTTTACATTCCCAATGACTCCAGTGATCCCATAAAATGTGAACACGTTATTTGTGAACATGGAACTGAGGGTGCCTGTCCTTGAGTTTTTCTTCTCCCTGACCTTATGCTGAAAATTTGTTCCAGCCCAGCGTGTCAGCTCACATTTCTAGCAGACTGGGCCATTACCAAGTGAAGACTAACAGTAATGATGCAAATCTGTTACCCAATTATCCCCACTCAGTCTACACCTCTAGGGGAAATTTTCCTTATTAAACATGGCTCCATAAGTATCTGAAACCCAAACAAGGATTTTGGAGGATAAACTCCAAGTCTGCATCATGGAAACAACAAACATTATCACGATGGAAATCTAAATACTTAACTACTTAGGATCAACTGGGGTAAAAGAACACTTGCCATTAACTAAGAGCATTCTTGCTCACTGAACAGCCTTTCAACTGGACTTATCCAAACATTACCTCATCTCTTAAGGAATAAACACCTAGTTATCTGAAACATTCAAGCCTCTCTATCCATCACCTCCTTGCCCACCCCTCCTCAAACAAACTAATCCATTTAATGGCTTGAGGATGTGTTCTCTCCTGATGGAGCCAGAGAACAGAGGAGTCATAAATAACCCCTCCCCTCCCTGTCTAAACATCAGCTTAGCGGTTGCTTTGGAGTCATCTTCTATGAGACTGTATCTGCCTTTCATCTTCCCATAAGCACTCTTCCAGCATCAGCTGGCAACAGACAGCATGCTGGTTCCGGCGGCAGGCAGGCATCTCACAGCAAAGACGTAAAACCTGAGTTGCTGACTTATGAGGAGGCCCTGTGTCTCCCATCAGCTGGCTGAAGGGTGGATGGCCACATTTCTGGAGCTCAACCAATTGCCTCAATTGATGGAAAACGCTTATGAACTTATAAATGACCTCTGAATATATTTTCTCAGTAGTAATAAAACAGATTGCTTAGCTGCCGGTAGCCTAAATGTGTACATAACTTCAGATGACCAATTTAACAATTGAAGATAAGGACTAAAAAGTGCATTGAAAAGTTCTATTAAAAGAAGAGAACAGTAAAATGCTTTGTTTAGGACAGACGATGAGTTCTAAAACGTAAGAATTGCAAATAAAAATAATAAGTGGAATTTTGTTTTTGTCACAAAAAATTGCAGACTGGAGTTAAACAGTGGCCCTATTATATTAGTGCAGTGGTTCCTAAACCTGGCTGCATGCTAGAACCGCTCAGGGAGCTTTAAAAAAATTCCAGTGTCCAGGCTGCACTCCATACCGATCAAATCTAAATGTAGGGGTTGGGGAGGGGATGAGACCCAGGGCTCCACATGTTCAAAGTTCCCAAGTGATTCCAAGGTGCAGCCAAGGCTGAGGGCCTCTGCCTTGGAGAATAATCCCCACCCTTCTGAAGCTCAGCTTGGCAATACCTACTTAGTGGACAGTTTTCTCTTTCTCGTTTCTGCCAGTTAACTTCTTTACAGCTGAACTATGGCATTTAAAGAATGACAGATTGGTTGACTGGTTGCTAGATACATAGCCACACACACTTGGGGGGAAAAAAATACATGCACACATATTTTTATTTATTTAACTTAGGGCCCGATAATTAGCATATACATCAGAAAAACCGAGTGCCTTAGAACTATATTACATATTCTCTCCAAATCTTTAAAGAGCCAAACTCTAAAAGACACACACACAAATATTTAAGTCATAAAACACACAGACACACACACACACACACACACTCAAGCTAATCCCCATCAGGAACCATGATCCAATAACATATTTAATAGTTAAGACCTCACTCATCAATGTACAAAACAGACAGACACACAAAACCCCCCTACACATTGATTAAGACGTGTGCCCTCGGGAAGAGCACTTACAGTTAGAAAGGTTTCTCGGTAGCGCTTTGAGGTAGCATGTGTCATAAAGTAACAGAAGTCTCAGAGCTGCTCTGCAGTCTCTCCTGGACACAAGAGATGGCCAAATGCTGAGGCTCCTGGAAGAGGAGCGGGAATTTGTCTGCACTCAGGGCCAGCGTCAGCCTGAACACACTCCCTACGATCTCGCTGTGGCCATTCCTCCACTTCGCTGCATGCATTGTGGGTTTAGGAGGAGGTAAAGGCATTCTGGTGCTTCTTTACTCTCTGGTGGTGGTGTCCCGGGCCAGGAGCGCATGTCCTTTTGCCTCAGGCAATCCTCGTAGGCAGGAGATGCATGCAGCCAGCGGAAGGCCAAGAGGGCCCCTTGGCACCTTTTTAAAACCGGCTCTAACCATTTAATAAAGATGACTGACCATGAAGGCATTTGTTTCTGCATGTCCCCTCTACGATCTGATCCTGCGCTCCCCTTTCCCTCCCCCCTGAGTACAATATTTTGGGGCATCATTACGCTTTCTGCCGTTTTCTTGGCAGGATGGTGAGCAGAAAAGCTTTTAAAAAAAATCTACAAAAACAGCAAAAAACCTGGGTGCAGGAGCAACTCTACGAACAGACTTCCTTTGTGCAAGTTGAAATGACTTGAGTTTACAGTTCAGGAAAACAGCCTGCTTCTTCTTTAAAAAAAAAAAAAAAAAAAAAAAAATAAGTAAATATTCAGCTCAGGTCTGCATTTTAAACACAAATATACAGTCCAAACGGTTAAAGGATTAAAGCTGCAAAAAATGGTCCCAACAGACCTCGGTGTAGGTCAGATTTTTGCCCAATGGTCACAGATTAAAGGGATGTCTAGTCCCTAAAAGCCCTTTGTACTACTGTACTACTACTGTCCCAATGTACTACTTCCTGTCGGGAAGTTGAACCCTTAGAAAGAATTGAGACACAACTGAGTAAAAATAGCACATGTCCAGGCAAAAAAATGGGCATGAGCTGGGCCTGAGTTGCCACTGAAAGTTCTATCATTCAGTATCATAGAAAATCCTCAAAGGCTGCCCAGAACCAGGGCCCAAGGCATCACTGAACATGCCAGCCACACATGTCAGCTGCTGACCCAAAGTCAATGACACAACTCAGCATTAGACTTCAAGTATCCAAGGTGCTACAAGAGCCAGTCCTCTCGGGGACTCGGGCTGATTCTCAGAAGCCCTCACCGCACCCGACCCCACCCTGCCCCTATGACATCCCATCATGTGACAGGTAAAGGAAGCACTGCCTACGGTCACTACAAAACACAGGGGTGGAAGGTGAGGAGTAAGAGAACTGCTCTCTACGTATACCAGCCTAACAAATACAAATAAATTCTTAACATTCTGTACAACTACAAGGTGCATGAGCTGGTATTCAAGCAATCACGTTAAACTCTTTTCTTTTCTCCCCTCTCTGTATCAAACAGGAAAATGGTTCCGTTGGGTTAACAGTGTCATTTTAAAATGCCATAAATTAAATAAGTTAGTTCACATTTTTCTCCCCCAGCACTTAAGTTACAGTTAATCCCTAATGTGCTTTTGAAGTTTGCTTTAACAGCTCCAGGTCTCTCCTGCGGACAGCGCCGATCCTGGGACAGCCATATTCCTCCAGCTGCAAAGGGACGAACTGTTCCAGCAGCCCAAGGCCCTGGCCGGCAGGACTGGTAAATAGCTTAGTCCATGATGGTTTAGAGTTTCCACTGAATCCCAAAAATATGGTGCTCCCTAAAAAAACACAGAAAAGTTCAATTTGTACAACTCCTTGTTCTGGGCAAGATAATGTTGGAGGTGAGCAAAACAAAGACGGCTATAAAAAATAAAAAAAAAGCAAAACTACACCTCCTTACTCAGCAAATGAACTCTTACCACCCACCGCGTGTCCCGAATAACAAACCACATCCCAACACACTTCCTCTAATGCAATCTCCTTATTTAGAAGCACCTTCATGATACATGAGCAAAATAAGCTCATGAAAACAGCCCGGTAGCTGCATTTCACCATAAAAACGTGACAGTTGCTGGCCTCCTAGGCACTTTGTAGAAGAATACAAACACAAACCTTTGTTGGAAAGATGAGCTGGTTTGGCTAATCCCAGAGGTATTAATGAATCTGAAATATTCAACTGCTTTATTTCTCCTCTTGTGCTCAATAGAACAATGGACCTGTATGTAAAGGTTAGGAAAGTCAGAGCAAATTTCAATAATTCCACATGTATTTGCTGGGTTCCGTTATGAGGTATATACAGTAGAGTAGTGATTCCCAACCTTTTCACTTCATGGCATACAAAAACTAATGACTAAAATTCTGTGAAACACCAAAAAAATATATCTGTTGCTGTTGTGGCAAAAAAAAAAAATTATTAAATTTGATTATTCACACAGGATGGCTATTGTTCTCTTGGCTGTTGTCATTTTTGCATTTGACAATCAAAGGGAAAAGAGGTTGTGTCTCTAACTCAATAATTAATAAAGCACACTTTAAAAATTCTTGTGGCACACCAGTTGAAAATTGGGTGCAGCAGAGAATAAAAATACTAGATAAAAGCAGAACTCAAAATGAAACAGAAAGAACCCAGATGTTTTTTCATTCCTGCTATTACAAGTTCCCTGCCCCACCTACGACCTATGTTACTATTACAAGAGGTCTCTAATTGTAGGGAAAACAAGTTATTTTAGGTCAGCCGACCTAGTGGATGCTTGGGACAGAGACCTTTTATGGAAAAAACCATTGTTACAGGGGAAATTAGTTTTGTTTGTTTCAGATGCTCTTTTTATCTATTTATTAAGTAAATAAATGAACACAAATTAAAAAAACAAAATAAAATCTGTTCCCCATAGTTTGGTTTAAATTTTTGTCTTTATTATGCAGTATATCAACACAAATATTCAAATGTGTTTGTGGATCCCCTCTTCTCTTGATCTCTCCTCTGCCAATACCACACTAGCTTAATCACTATGACTTCATGGTTTATTTTAATATACAATAAGCCCCTTGTATTAACATAATTTGTATTTTATTGCTCTCCCACACTGATTCTCCCAGATGAACCGCACTGTCATATGTGAAATACAATGGAAAAGTGACCAACTGAGACTAATGGAAATGCATTAAATCTCTAATTTAGTTAGAATGAATCCACACACTATTAACTTTCCATCCAGAAAAGGGGAATGTTTCTCCTTCTAGTCATCTCTTCCATATCCTATAGTAAAGCATTTATTTTCTTAATATGGGTCTTGACATTTCTTAGTAAGATTCCTAAGTTTCACATTGGTATGGGGTTTTGTTAAAGCTGTTCTAACAGCAGTAGTGACTAAGCCCAGAATCAGACCAAAGGTCTGACCATAGCAACCCTGCGGCCTGACCTTCTTCAATGGTCACAGTGACTCAGGCTGCTTCCATGCTATCACCTGCAGGTCCCCTCACCCACCCAGTGTCCCGAGAAGTCACTGCCAGTTGCACCATAACTCGCTAACACTTTGTTAAGAGTCAACGTACCCACAGAAGAGTATTCCTAAGGGTGCAGCACATTCAACTTTTGCAAACCAAACATACTCGTGTAGCCAGCAGATCAAGAAACAGCACTACAAGTAGCTCAGAAGCCTTCCTAATAACAACCTAGTGACATTTAATGAGTTGGCTGTAACTCGTAAATCTGTAGGGTGACTTACAGGACCTATTATGTTGTCCTACATATCTCTGGTGAGATTTACGATAAATTGTTTTAGGTGGAATAAGTGTGTGTCTTTTCATCATTAGGAAAAATCTTTAAATCCTTAAAGGAAACTGAGGCCTAGGAAAGGAATTCCCTACAAGTGTCTTAAGCTAGATAGAGCTATATGGACACATTGGAAACGACACTCAAATAACCCAGTGATTTATGGGACTTACTGAGCTCCAGTTCTGTGATGTGTGAAGAGCACATATAATGAGACCAACGGAGGAGGAGCCTAACGTTGGATGGGCCTTTAGTCCCCAGGAAGCGAATGTGCTTCCCTAAATGAAGGCTGGTGATAAATCCATGTCTGCAGTGAAGCCCAGGGGGCAGGGAGGAGCCTGAATTACTCTCTCGCCTCCAGGCAGCGTCTGACCAACCAGAAAAGGAAAGATTTCTCTCCCGCACACCTTTCTTTAGAAATTAAACGAAGAGGAACTAATTAGACTAGGGCTCTGAAAAGGGAGACCACATACTCACCTACCAAAAAAATCAAAGTACCCTTTGCTAGTCACTTCCAAGAGATGAGTTCATCTGCCAAGTCACTGCATGTTGCCGTCTGAGGTTCCATCAGAGGCACAGAGGGCTGCTAAGGTAAAACTGTCTAAAAAATTGTTTTAAGCCCCGGCCAGTAGCTCAGTGTTTAGAGCACCGGCCTTTAGACACAAGGGTTGAGGGTTCAATTCCTGGTCAAGGGCACCTACCTTGGTTGCAGGCTCGATCCCTGGCCCCAGTTGTTGGGGGTGGGGGGGGGAGGCAACCAATCAATGTGTTTTTCTCATTTTTCTTATATCAATGCCTCTCTCCTTTTCTCTCTCTCTGCTTCATCCCTCCTTTCCACCCTGCCTAAAAAAAAAGCAATAGAAAAAGTATTCCCGGGTGAGGATTTTTTTTTTTAATGTTTTAAAATGATTATGAGCTTTATGAGTGAGTCGGATGCAATGTAGATAAATGTTACTAAATGTTACTAAAACATAGAGAGTAATAGTCTGAATATTGAGCTTTTCTCCTTGTACAAACCTTCCCACCATCTGAAAACTCTTCTAACATCCAAGCTCCCATTATTTTTGCTTTTTATTTCATAGAAGAAGGAAGAAGGAGAGAGAGAAACATCAATGACGAGAGAGCCTCACACTGGAGATCGAACCTGCAACCCAGGCATGTGCCCTGACCAGGAATCGAACCATGACCTCCTGGGTCAATGCTTAACCACTGAGCCACACCAGGCGGGCTAAGTCCCGCTACTGAGAAGCTGAGGTTTACAATGACAAACAGCTCAGACCACACAGATGAGAAAGGAATAAAAACCTTTCAAGAGTCCCAAATGCCCACAGTTATAAAGGCAGGTCAACAAACCAAAGCTCAGGGTGAACCAGGTATCACCCCGATCATGTGACTGTCCCTCTGTGGAGCAAGTCTCACCTACCTTGGAGGGATGCCTGTTTTTAAATACACCCCCACGAGGCTGACATCAGCAAGAGGGAAAAACTTCTTTTCCATCACCCGGAAGGGAACGCTGCAGGCATCCACAATGAGGAGAAGGACACCTGCACTTCGGAAGGGGAAGTCGGTGCCATTGACCTGAGGACACAAAAACAGCTGCTGTCATCACCATTTCAGTATCTCTGGAAGGGTCCCTCTCTCCAGCCCATCCCGCTGTCTTCCAAAGCCACAAATCCAGTGCACCAGATGCTATGTTCCATTCACTCTTTCTCTGCCGATAACGGAAACTGTGCTGTGTGCTCATTGACTGCCTTGCCTGGACTTTACAGACTGGATAAAATGCTCTAAGCATCTTATTGATTTTGATTTAAGAGAGGAAGAGAGAGGGGGAGAGAGATAAAAACATCAACAATGAGGGGAAATCATTGATCAACTGCCTTCTACATACCCCCTACTGGGGATCAAGCCTGCAACCTGGGCATGTGCCCTGATCGGGCATGGGCCAACACCTTCATTCTTACACACATACTCTCTCATTGGGGTCACAGCTTTCTAACTCAGCAATCAGGTGGCAGCCTCTATAGTGCAGCTCAGCTCACTTACTGTCACACTGATTCAGAAAAATCTGCCCTCCCCCCTCCTCCCCCAATGGAGCTCAGGTTTGGAAGATCAGCGGAGCTAGATTGCCTCATCTCCATTGTTTTCATCTTCTTTGAAATCAAAGTGAAAATATGGTAACTTTACCAGTTTTTAAGCCATGAGTATATTATTATACTGTATAACTTCCAGTCATCCCCTTTAAAAGAACAGTTTGATACCTTTAAAAAAATGAATTCTAAACACATCCAAATTCATTCATTTCTCAGCCAGAAAGGAATAAAAAGAACTTATTAGACTGAAAAATGTTTCAATACTGAATTAAGCACTGTTTCTGTTTAAAATTATAAACTATACCAAAAGCTAATAAAGGAGAAATACAGTCACCACTATCCCTTATTCTCACTGGGAGAAATTATATTTAAATTTCATTTCTAATCACTATTTCTAATCTGATCTGCCAGAAAGCAAAATGGCCTTTTAGCTGTGTTTAAATGTATCTAATCCAGAGGATGGTTCTGTAAATGCTTCAAGTAAACTAAGTACCATTTTAGATTTGGAAAAACTGGAAGTGATTCTCTTATTTCTAAAAATCTGATATGGACAACAGTGTGGTTGGTAATTGTGTGTGTGAGGGAGGATGGGAGGGAGCATTGAGAGTATAAATGGTGATGAAAATTTTTTAATTAATTTTTTAGAAATGCAACAAGACGCATTTCTTATTTATTTCAAAAAATAAAAATAAAAATTTGAATATTTAAAATTGAGATATATTTTGGGGGAAATATAAAATGATCTTCAACACACTCAAACTGTCCACCCCAAAACCTAAAACTTAAAGGAAATAAAACACTTTCCATAAAAAATAAAAAATAATAAAAAATAAAAATAAAACAGATAAAGCAATGCCATGTCCTAGCAAAGGCTTTTCAGGAAATGCATGTGAAAAGTACTACTGGTAAATATGACAAAAAACATGTCCTGTGTCTTTTCTACATTCCTAGGCACCTGAAGTATATAGCAATAGTAAAACAGTGCGGCATGGCCTGTCGGAGGTTTTCTGGGCAAAACAATATATTCTTTAATTATCTAGTGACTGTATAGCACAGAAAATATAATCAATAATATATTGTTCAGTGACATGATTACTAGATATGTCGTAGTAATCACATCATCCTAATATATAAAAAGCCAGGGGCCATCATGACCAAAACAACCGGATGCAGGCTGCATGGGGTGACCAGGCTGACAGGGGGGTTAGTGAGGGACAACCAAATGACTGAACAGCAGGCTGCATGGGGCAACTAGACTGGCGGGGGGTGGGGGGAGGCAGTTGGGGGCGACCAGGCCAGTGGGGGGAGGAGAAGAGTATTGGGGGTGACCAGGTCAGCAAGGGGAAAGTTGGGGGCAACTAGACTGGCAGGTGGGGACAGCTAGGGGTGATTAGGCCGGCAGGCAGGTGAACAGTTAGGAGTCAGCAGTCCCAGATTGTGAGAGGGTGCAGGCTGGGCTAAGGGGACCCCCCACCCTGTGCACGAATTTTGTGCACTGGACCTCTACTAAGATATATAATTGTAAAATCACTATGTTGTATACCTGAAACTAACAATGTTATATGACACTACTGTAACTTAAAAATGTTTATCTAGTGATCTAGTATTGTAGTGGGCACCCAGCTCTTGCTTCCTTTATACAACTGAGTCCCTCCAGACACCAAGCTGCACCTGGAGAGCTTACCCATCTTACTCAACTGAAACTTTATGCTTGTTGATTAAAAAATGCTCCCTATTTCACCCTTCCCTTTGGTGAGGATATTCTTAACTCAGAGTTGTCAAAAAGTCAAATTTATGTTCTGGAGATGCATGGAAAAGTGATGGTTGCACAAAATGAATGTAATGATATTTCATACTACTGAACTGCACACTTAACAAAGATGAAGATGGTGAATTTTATGTTATGTATATTTTAACACAATGAAAAACTGAGAGCGAAATAGAGAGTAAGACTGAAATTTTTCCACATTTATGTGAATTTGTGAACGTGTTGCCTACCACTTAAAAAAAAAAAAAGCTCCGAAACCAGTTTGGTTTAGTGGATAGAGCGTCAGACTGCCGACTGACAGGTCCCAGATTCAATACATTGGTTTGTGAGCACATCCCTAGATATGCAGGAGGCAGCTGATCGATGTTTCTCTCTCATTGATGTTTCTAGCTCTCTATCCCTTTCCCTTCCTCTCTATAAAAAATAAATAAAATAAATAAATAAATAAATAAATATTTTTTAAGCTCCTAAAAAGATGATTTGAGACCAGGCCCAGGCCCTGGCTAGAAATAGCTGGATGGCTAGATATCTCCTCCCCAAGGAGCTCTTTATATGGCGGCACTCAAGTCAGCCGGATTTTAGACAGGCCACATGCCATGAGCTGGTTAGCACTGGCTGGCTTGGCTCTTTGCCCACATTCTAATGCTGACACTGAGGCTCAGGCCTGCACTTCTTACCCCACTTGGGAAAGACAACCAACACTTTGCATCTTCACTTTCCTCATCAGAAAACTGGGAGCCAGGGAACCTCATACGAAAAGGCCAAAGAAAAGTTCTAAAACTCACTGCCCACATGTTAAACAAACAACTTTGAAAGTTCTTTTTAAGTTTCAAACACCAAGGTTGAACACAGTTTTCTACATTTTGATTGCCTGTGGCAATTATTTTTTAACCCAAGATGCCTATTCTCTTATAAAAATGAAACCTGGGTCGTCTGTAACACTATTATGCATGAAGAGTAGTGTGAACAGTTTAACATTTACCTAAAAGGTATCGCTAAACAGACAAAAATTTTTAAAAATGTATTTACCTAAAAACAAAAATATTTAGGAGATATTTATATCTCTATTGTATCGCTTGCCACGCATAACCAAAATGTGATCACAAATGAATGACGGTTGCCAAAAATAACTGATGTCACCGGGGTGACACATAAAAGTGAGAAGCTGGAGCAGTGGACATGCCAGATGGTACTTACAGAGATGACAGACGGGTCTCCGCGCTGAGTCTCCACCTTACTGGGTGACTGGAATTGCACGGGGAGGTAGCTTTTATGAGGATCACTAGTAAACACCACCTAAACAGAGAAAAAAGGGTCACATTTATGTCAAATTCACCACAAGGATGCCTCAAAAGAAACTCAATTATAACAAATCAGTTGTTTTAAATGATTTTGAGAGAGAAAGGGAGGAGAGAAATCAATGTGACAGTATCAATCAGCTGCTTCCTGTACACCCCGGGAATTGAACCCACAACCTGGGCACAGGCCACATCAGCCAGGACAAACTACACCATATTTTTCGGACCATAAGACGCTCCAGACCATAAGACGCACCAGTTTTTAGAGAAGGGAAATGAAGAAAAAAAGATTCTGAAACAAATAGTGTCCTAAAATATTTTATGTGCATTAAAACCCAACATCACAGTCATAAACACATGTAATCAACCCTGTAAGTAAACAGCAGCATTTAGAACCATTTTAGAGCCGGGCAAGCACACAGAGACCACACAGAGCCGGGCAAGTAAAAAAACTTTTTTTTTAAAGTATATGTGTAGGCTATATTTGGACCATAAGATGCAGGGACTTTTTCCCCCCACTTCTGGGGGGAAAAAAGTGCGTCTTATGGTCCAAAAAATACGGTAGTTATTTCCTGAACTTTTATACCTATTTCTAAGAGAAGGTTTTGTTCCTCGTTTTCTGGAACAATAACAAGTTTCAAATATTTAGTTGGGATCTTGTTAATAAAGTCAATTCTACAAATGACTACATAAAAATGTTTTATATGCACATCTTTGTAAATATTTTATGCAAACACAGTCACAAATCTTTTTGAAGATTCTTTTCAGACCAGTATTCTGAACTGGGACTCAAGAGAGTATAGATGAGAAGTTTGAAAACCTTTAGTAGCTTTGTGCATTATCAGGTCTAAATGCAGCATGTATATTTCTGTGGCAATTCTTGCTTTTTAAAAAATTCTTTAGCCCAATGAAATGTGGACACGTATCAGAATCCCCTGCTGGGCTTGTTAACACCCAGACTGGCTGGTCCCAGCCCTGGAATTTCTGGTTGGGCAGGATTGGAATTGGGCTCAGGAATTCCAATTTCTCACAAGCCCTCTGGCGCTGCTGGTTAGGGGTCCACACTCAGAACCATTCCCCTTAACCCATATCTGTTTACATAAAGATTAACTATTAGTGAATAGTTACACCTCTTTTGTACTTGGAATCGATCGGACTTCCTTCAGAAGGAACACTGTGCCTGATTTTTGGGTTTCCTTTCATTGCAATTCTTTTTTCAAGATCCAAAAGAAGAACAGCTAATTAAAAATACTTCAGGAGGAGTATTTCACTTCTAACTAACTGGAGCTAGCTTGTCCTTTTAATTACAGGTAAACAAATAGCATTTGCTTCCAAATGAAGTGGGGGCTCTCCACCTTAACAAAATAAAACCATCTCAGCAGGTGCATTTTCCAAAGAGAAACATCACACTGCCAAGTTAACAAAACATTTTCCACATCCCTGACATGTAAATCCAGGAACAACAGTGCAGCAGAATCACATCTGAGAAAGAAAAGATGACAGCAAATAAGTCCAGTCATGCAGGGCAAACTGTTGTATCAGAGAAGGACGGGATCTTTATTATAATTTGGACAAGGTTGCTTTTTATGAGCATCGCATTCTATAATACCATGGGCCAAAGTTCAGGAGAAACCCTACCACATTTCAAAATTGGCCAGACAGATGTTTCCCCAAAAAAACGCGCCTACTGCAAAGAACCTTCCGACCTTTCTCCAGGCCACAGCCCACGTGTTTACCTGGCGGGTCCCGCAGCCTTGGCAGGGTTTGGTGAGCATGGCTGGCATCCGCTTGAGGGCGGACGGCTTCCTGTAATACTTGGGATACGCTTTCGCCATGCAGTTACTGGTATCTTTTGAGTCTGTTGCCGCCTGGATCCTGACTCTTTCGCATCCCTGAGATGAGCAGTAACTGTGGCCATCCCTCTGGCCCTGGGCTTTCAGATACAGAAACAGCAACCTGGGCAACACAGAAAGCGACCCACTGGGTGTTAGACCACCTCCAGAAAACTTGCAAAAACTTAACTCCTCACTAAAAGGTATATTTCTCTAATAAGGTAAGTTCTCCCCCTCAAAGAAAACTACATTATAAAACTAATAAAGTTGTTTCTCTTCCCTTTCTATCCTCCTAGGCTCCTATGTCAAACTCAATGCTCCTTCAGAAAATATTCTGGTAGCCTGATTCAATCATTGTAGAAGGTATGAAAGTTGATTTCTGGTTTGAATTAAGTTCAACAGGTGATTTGGGAGGATGGAATTTGGCTTGGCTCAAGAATTCCTCGGAAAACTTTATACTTGCATTGAGTTTAGAATTTGGTAAATCAGCATGTTTTTCTTTTCTCTTTTTGGTTTATAAATCATTTTGGTTTATGGCACAAAATTTGAATAAGAACAGCAACTGTGTTTCGTTTGGCTTCAAGTCAATTCAAAAAAGCAATGGTTTCAAATCAATTCCTGCAACGTTGACTAAGAGCAGATGGGCCTGAGGTCCTTCTGTCTGTACTTTGGCCAAAATCAAATGAAGTGAGTAGTCCGAGGACTCTGAATTATCCCCCTATTGCCAAGATGAATGGAAAAGTAACTTCTAGGCAGCAGTCCAACATCTGTCAGCAAACCTAGTCCTTCTAGAGCAAAGGAAGTCAATGTTCTAAAGGCTTGATCAAATGTAATCAATTATTGAAGTCAAAAATTCACATTTTAATATGAGGTCAAGTAGCAATTATGAGGTAAAAATCAGCCACTGTCCCAGCATCCAGTAATTTTCGCTTATATCTGTAAGGAATGCTACAAGCCTGGTTAGCATAGACCTTCTGGCAATTAAAATCATCAAAATAAATGTAATTAAAAAAAAATTAAAACCCCAAAGATCAAGGGGTTTTAGAAATACCCAGATGATGACACATTTCCCATCCTTTTACACATGTAATCATTAATATGTGATCACCAAAATGTCCTTACAAATTTGGTTGTTCTGTTTATTTTTGTGAAAAGTCAACTGGGAATGCGGAAGTTCTGTCATGTACAGAATAAAAGCCCAAGCAGATAAAGTATAATTAGAAATTGAAAATCAAAGACAACTATAATTAATATATATATATATATATATATATATATATATATATATATTTTTTTTTTTTTTTTTTTTTAAGCTGACCACACTGACTGCTGGAAGTGCCCTGGAGGGCAAATAAGTTGCATTTCATTCAAAGGCTAACAAGGCACTTGCTGAACCCCCAACCTTGTCCTCCAAAATCAAACTTGCCACCCTCACCCCAATTGGAACCTTTTGTCTTCCCCCAAACATGCCATGCCACGTTCTCCCATGCCTCCATGCATCCGTCCACATTGCTCTTCACCCATCTCTTTTTTGTCTCCTCCTACTCATTCAAGAGTCTGTCCCAGTGCCACGCTCTTGGGATGTCACTGGTTACCTTAGGCTGAACTTCTGGGTCACCTCAAAAGGCACACTGAACATCCCACAATAGGGCTTTTAGCACTTAATTTCTTCCCTCTCCAGTCACCTGCTTTACATGCCCACATCCTTCAGTGGGCTATGCATTCGAAGAGGAAATGCATCTTATTTACATTAGTGTCTTTACTAAGGTGCCTAGACAATGGCGTAGGAGGAATGTCAGCTTAAGAAAGGACTAAGGAGCATGCTAGTTGCTGGAAGAGTACAGGAGATCGAGCCTACCATCACCCAAAGGCTGAGAGACTGTAACTGGATAAGAGCAGACAAAGCCAACAGGACCCCAGGAGAACAGGATTAGAATTAAAAAGTGGAAAGATGCAGCCTAGAGAGAGTTGAAAGCAAATATGCCACGGTTATACAGTGATTTTTAAAAACTCAAGGTCAACTTGAGAGAGAAAGAGCTTTAAGGAATAGAAAAATGAGCTTTCACTGAAATATGAACTATATCATATGTAAACAATCATCTTACAAGAGTTGTTATAGGAAAGAAATTAGTTTAAGTTCCTATTGGGCCTACTGGTTCTTTATTGACAAGGATAATTTCTCTTTCTAAATCGCCTTAATAGGTATACAGCAAACATCTTCACTCAGCTCCTACTGCCAACTATAATTATGAGTCATTCTAGTTCTCTAGGCCTCTAATAGCGATGAGGAGAGAATTACCCACATCAGCTGCTTGTCTAGAGAGCCATCACATCATAGTCTATTCTTAGTTAGGCTGAAGAACCAGTAATTTCTCCATTAAAGAAAAACAGCAATAATTCTCATTTGCTGGTCACACTGAATTACCCCGTGCCGGAGTCAAAATAGAATTTCCTCTCATACGGCTTCCTCTGCAATTCTTCCAGTGAATTCACAGGCTCATAATCTTCCATTTTGGATAACGAGCCATTATGCCGCTGTAAAAAGCCAAAAGTAATCTGAAAAATTGCATTTGATGGATAGCAGAGGCCAACTCGAATCCAGTCATCCCTATCAAAAAAAGAAAATTAAAACATGAATTCACATTTGAGCCAATATATTTGGGGCATTATAGCATATGTAAACACTAACCATGGTTTTCTCCTCCTTAAATGTCTGCTGTGCATTGAGTCACTAACGATGGAAATCCTGAGCCCTGACCTTTAAATGTTTCCCCAATTTCTCTTATCAATAACAATCATATGGCTTATTGAAACTTCTTGGTTTTGACAGGACTTATAGGAATATGAACAAAAGTTGGGTAAGATGGACTTTGACACTGTGAGTGGATAATAAAATTAAGATGGTTGGACATGTAGTAAGCTAGATGAAATATCACTAGAAAGACAGTAGAATTACATATTGGTAAAATCTTTCCAAAAAAATTTTTGTTCATAAATACATTTTTGTCTTTTATTACTACACTAGAGGCCCAGTGCACAAAATTCGTGCATGGGGGTGGGGGGATGTATCCCTCAGCCCAGCCTGCACCTTCTCCAATCTGGGACACCTCAAGGGCAGTCAGACATCTCTCTCACAATCCAGGACTGTGGGTTCTCAACCGAATATTCGCCTGCCTGCCTGCCTGACTCTAACCACTCCACTGCCAGCCTCATCGATGCATAATTGTTCTCCTGCCAGCCTGATTGCCCCTAACTGTCCTCCCTTGCAGGCCTTATCACCCCTAACTGCCCTCCCCTGCTGGTCTGATCGCTACAACTGCTCTCCCCTGCTGGCCATTTTGTGATGGCCATCTTATGTCCATATGGGGGTGGCCATCTTTGACCACATAAGGACGGCCATCTTGTGTGCTAGAGTGATGCTCAATTTGCATATTGCCTTTATATTATATAGGATTAGGGTAAGTACTTAGTGATAAAATTTCTGGATATAAAAGTATGTGTATTTCTTTTTTTTTTTTAATCCTCTCCTGAGGATATGTTTTTATTTACTTGAGAGAGAGAGAAAGAGAGAGGGAGTGAGAGAAACATCCATCAGCTGCTTCCCACATGCATCTCAACCAGGGACTGAACCCAAACCTGGGCATGTGCCCTGACTGGAAATCGAACCCACAACCCTTTGGTTCACAGGATAATGTTCCAACTAACTGATCCACATCAGTCAGGGCAAAAGTATGTATATTTTTAAACCTTTGATGTATATGACCAAATTGACACTAAGTTGTTTTTTTCTTACCTAAAAATCCTTAGACATAAAATTAATATTTTTTATTATTTGCTTTTGGGGGAGTGGGGATTTTCTAATTGTGGTAAAATATGCACCATATAAAATTTACCATTTTAGTTATTTTAACCATACAGTTCAGTGGCATTAAGTATATTCAAAAGTTGTGCAACCATCACCACTACCCATTTCCAGAACTTTTCAATCATTTAAAAGAATTTTTGAACAGTAAGTAACAGGCCTTAAAATTGTTACAAAGGTTTAACTCACTAAAACCACTAAAGAGTAACTAGAAATGCAGACCAAAATGCATTAAAACATGTTCTCTGTGGTATATTTATAATAACAAAGTGGGAGTGGGCAGGAGAAAAACAACCTAAATATCTATGGGGAAAGGCAGTAGTTAAATAAATTTTGATATCTCTATATGCTCAGAAAATAGTTGAGGGCAGAGAGAGAACACTATAATTGTTATAATGCCTCACCCTGTTTAAGAAAATTATAGGTTATTTCAATTTTCTTTATGTTTTTCTGTATTTTCCATATTTTGTTTAATGAGTAAGTCTAGCTTTTATAATTTTTAAAGTGACAAAATCTATGACCTCTTTATAATTATATTAAATTTGGAAAATAAGATGGTCCACTTCTTCCTCTTGTCCATGATGTAATTTTTGCAAACTTTCAGCAAATTAAACAAGGAAAGTCTGACTGAACTCCAAGACCATGTGGATTTTTGTAACTTCTGGGTTCGGCCTTTTTTGCACTTTACAATGTTTTCATTTGGTATTTTTTTAAAAGTTACACATGACACTGACCAGAACCCTACATAACATTTGATTGTAGTATCTTGCCTAAAATTCATAACCTGCCAGATTTAAGTTTTTATATTTCTTATAAGTCCTCTCCAACCTCATTTGTCTCTTTGACTGCTCTGCAGCTCACTGATGGGAATGATAATAGCAGAATGGCTTTCAGAAACCTCACCCTAGACACAACGTGGACTGTGGATTGGAGGCGGGGAGATCCAGTAGGACCCATGCTAGAGATGATAATGGCCTAAACTCAACCACCAACAGTGGAGGTAGAAAACGGTAGAGCGATATCAACAGCATTAAAGACAGAACTGACAGGATTTGGTCACTGACAAGATGAAGAAATAAGGGAAAAGGAAGAGAGAAGGATGAATCCTGGGACTTTTGGCTTGGTTGGCTCCATAGGAAAAGGTGCAACTCTCCAGCAAGGATACAGAGAAGCTGTAGAGGACCCCCTGGGAAGGCACTTGGGGCATTTCTTTAATTTATTGTCAGCTGAACTCAGGGTGACAGGCAGAGCCACGCCCTGGAAACATGCTTCCCCAGAAAAGGCTGGACACATTATCAGTACTAACTTTTAACCTTGCCCAGGTGTCAGGGATTGTGACTTTGATATGTAAATCCAGTTAAGCACCAGGAATGCTCAGGCCTACTCAAGAATGCAAATAATCTCCTTTGATCTTAACTTTTAGTGAAACCCCGCTGGTATTTGGGGATATAAACAAACAATCTGCATTGGCTCTGGGTCCCTGTCCCTCCATCAGAGAGGCAGTGTCCCACCCGGCTCCCAGCTTTGCTTCTATTTCTGCATCTTGGTTTCTTTCTTTCTTTTATTTCTTAATCCCCAGCTGCCTCCACTCAGGAACCGGACCCGCTCTTTTTCTGTGCTGGATGCAGGAAAGAGAGAAATGCCCACAAAAAGCAGCAAGTGTCACAGGAAAAACAGGAATGATTCCGTGTGGAGCTCGTGCCAGAATCTCACAGCTCAGTGGGTCACTTCCAAGGCTCACCAGTCCTTGGAAGTGACCTACTTAGCACTGAATGTCCTATGTCCACCTCTTCCTTTCAGTTGTGTGTTTTAAGAGTGCTCAGAAAAGGCAGCACTTTATGACCAGTCAGGTGAATAAGCAATTTCAGTTTTTCAGGTACATATCTGAACAGTTTCATGGATTCCCACTGGTTAACCACCACACATGTCTAGACTAATGTAACTCTGCCCTACCAGGCCCATCACTCCTTCCTGGTTTCATCTCCTGTCACACCCTATGCTCCCATGGCACTGCATCCATCAGTTCCCGAACAGAACTAGCCTTTCCCCAATTCTGTTGCTTTTGTACCAAGACAGATCATTTAGCATCACTTTCTCAGCACAGCCAGGCCCAACTCCTCAAGGCTAGAATTAGGTGCTCTATTGATTCTTGAGTTTTTTTTCTACCTGTATATTGTGAGCTCCTGGAGGGCAAGTACTTTTCTCTCTCATCATTTTCTGGTACCCAGTAAACGCTTGAATAAATTACTATACAAACAGAGCCTTCAACTGTAAATAGTATTGTTAGGACAGACAACTGGGAAATCAAGAAGAGATAGAAATCAGGCAGGAGTGGCAATACCTGGCATTCATGCCACTACTCTTCCACCTCTTACCCATAGCAGATGTTACTAACCAGCCACACCTCTCTCTTCTGTCAAATCTAACGTTGGCCTCAAAAGCCTTTTTCTTTCCTAGGTAACTCAGTGCTCAGTTGGAACAACACAGAGAACTTCCTTCCATCCCAACTAAGGGGAATTAAAATATTCAACAGACAATATGAGACCCTATTGTTAAATGGCTTTCTGTACACAATACCCTGATCACAGAGAAACAGAAATGCTTTCAAAAGGAAAGGAGTCAATTTGTGTAATCTTCTAATTCCATCCACATAAAATAAGACAGCCTGTCCTGACCAGTCTGGCTCAGTGGATAGAGTATCAGCCTGCGGACTGAAAGGTCCCAGGTTCGATTCTGGTCAAGGGCCTGTACCTTGGTTGCGGGCACATCCCCAGTAGGGGGTGTGCAGGAGGCAGCTGGTGGATGTTTCTCTCTCATTGATGTTTCTAAGCTCTCTATCCCTCTCCCTTCCTCTCTGTAATAATCAATAAAATATATTAAATATATACATATATATATATATATCCTCCCCATAAGAGAAATGTAGTACAAGAAACTGGCATCCTTACTTGCTACAAAGGTGGTGCGTTATTATTTTTCTCCACTAGATTCCTACTTGCTCAGCTATGTGAAATAACAGTATTGGGAACATACTTGTTGAAATTTATGAGGTATAGAAATACAGTCTTCGGCACTGGCCCGTTCCAGTGGATGGAATAGCCCTTCTCCAGCATGATCACCGGCTGGTACTGGGGAAAGGCAGCCTTCTGGTTAATGCCCCGAAGCACCATCGGGTAGGATGGGTACTCATCTCGTGTGATGGTCATTGTCAGATTCTGAGTGCTCCACGTTTGCACATAGACCTTCAAAAAATAAATGAAGAATTATGGGGAAGAGCATGAACACTTAGAGAGCCAAACAAGCATTTCTAGCTCAAAGCCAAGTGTCTTGTTGAGAAAGAGAGAGAGATTCTGTGATCTGTGCCAGACTAAATGAGGAGTAGCCAACTTCATCCTAAGCCACACATACAATGAAGCTTGCTTAAACTGGAATGGTAAAAACAGACCATGCGTTCTGCTAGCCAAGACCGTCATCATCTCTTCCACCACAACGGGCCAGCTTATTCATCAGAATATAAAACCTTTGTGGCTTATGCAGCCTGTCCAAAAAAAATCCCTCAATCTGAAGAATGCACATATAAGAAATTAGTAAATTAATGTGAAAATGGATACCCTCTAACTCAAATCTGAGAGACTTTCCTCGAACGCAAGAGAGGGAAAATGTAAATACCTTAGAGTTTGGGCTTGCAATTTTCCATGATCTACATGAGCGCAATAAGTCATTTTTCAAAGGAAAAAGGGTTATAAAGCACTCTGCAAAAACTGGAAAAACATATTAAACCGAGACAAATTTGAAAGTCCTGAATTTGTTCCAGTGGCATGAGCTCCTTGCTGTGCCAAAACAAAGCCTTCCCTCAAAACAAACCTCAGAACAATTTCCTGAAACAAATGAGTATTGCTCTGGCCAGTGTGGCTCAGTTGATTGGGCAATTGTCCTATGCACCAAGAGGTTGCCTGCTTGATCCTCGAGCAGGGCACATGTCTAGGTTTTGGTCTCGATTCCCAGTAGGGGATGTGCAGGAAGCAGCCGATAGATGTTCCACTTTCAAATGATATTCATTCTCTATTTCTCTCTCTCTCTCTTCTTTGTCCTCTCTCTCTCTCCCTTACTCTCTCTCTTAAAAAAAGAAACAAAAAACAAAAAAATTAAAAAAAAAAATTAGTATCCTGTAACAGATTTCCCCAGAAGTATTAAAACATCTGCAGAATATTTATTTAATCCACAATACTTCTGTTTTTCTCTTTTGGTCATTTCTACAGTTTTGTCCACAACTGATTCCTCAATTATACATCTTTTGAAGCAGAAAATCTTCTGAACTCTCATTTATGTTTGGCTACTTCAATACTGTCCTCTTCTCTACTAATACCACTTAAAAGTTTAGAATAAATAGATAGGAAATATATATTTTGAGACTAATGTCTTTAATATATTTAATATATTGTACATGTTATTTACTTAAATAAATTTGTTATATATAACTAAAATGTTTATATTATATATAACTAAATATAGTTTACAAAGAATAGGTTATATAAATGTTAGGTTATATAAATACATATATATCCTGCCTCCCTCCAAGGATTTGAGGTAGCACATGTAACCTCAATTCTCCTTATGTTATCATCTTTCGTCCTGAGCTCCTTTACTCTTTGGGTCAGCAAAGAGCAGATATTCACTTAACATCAATTTACAAATAGCTAAATAATGTTTGTTTTGCCTTGAGGTCCGTGCTTCTATCTTTTGCCTATAAAGACATAGTATTATCCATCAGCTCAGTTACAACAAATGGCTGCAGATCTGAGCTCCCAGGTCAAATTCCAAATTCTCAGGAGAAAATTTCTAACCTGTAGTTCTATCATCCCAGAGCTGCCTGGGAAGTATTAGATGACCTGTCTCTTTCTTCATCTCCAAATAAAATAGAATTACTACCCTGGTTTGTAAGATAGAAGAAACAGGTTCAAGTCCCAACTACATCATAAACCAAAGAGTTTATAGACCCATTTATAATAATTTTAAAATACAAAGTTTTCATTAGTGAGCACACCCCATTTTAAGACAGATACCCAAAGGCAGCCTTGCATACACATGGCTCGCAAGAAATTTAAAAATGCAGCTACCAAAGCACTAAAATCTTTTTGTTTTAATTTTATTTTAATTCTAGAATTTCTATCGCATCCCGGGTATTGATGAGTCAACTACATTTTAGGGGATGATTAAGGCTAAAATGAATGGCAATAAGAAAGCCCACAACAAGGAAGCTAATATTACATTAAAATAAACCAGAAAAATCTCTCCGGTCTTTTATCCTTCTTAAGTCCTTGTGTCTTACCTATCGATAAAAATCTTTGTAAAGTGTGTGTGTGTGTTTTAACTTAAGAGTCATAGCGTTCTTTAGCAGTCATGATTCAAAATCAGAAGAGCAATGAAGAATTCTGCTCCCAGGAGCTCCCACTCCAGGTTTTCGTGGTGGAAACCACAGTAGCTCAAGAAGTTGACATGCAGGACCCTGTGAACACACCCTGGACAGGCAGAGTAGCCAGAGCTCGGGAAGGGCCTTCACCATAGGCCGGTCCTTCCCCAAGAAGAACCCTCCCTATAAATAAGAGCATTTAGCAGCAAACCAACAGGCGGGCTTCTTTCCTGCTGTGGGACTAGCAGAGCCCAAATCCCCCTGGAAGATCCCTCACTCTTCCCTCATTCTCCTGTCTATGCTCTTAATTCTCCTTTGCCCTTATCTTTTATCTCCCTCGACTATCTAGTGTTAAATCTTGCCATTTAATTACCGTATTTTTCGGACTATAAGACGCACTTTTTTCCCCCCCCAGAAGTGGGGGGGAAAAGTCCCTGCGTCTTATGGTCCAAATATAGCCTACACATATACTTTAAAAAAAAAGTTTTTTTACTTGCCCGGCTCTGTGTGGTCTCTGTGTGCTTGCCCGGCTCTAAAATGGTTCTAAATGCTGCTGTTTACATTACAGGGTTGATTACATGTGTTTATGACTGTGATGTTGGGTTTTAATGCACATAAAATATTTTAGGACACTATTTGTTTCAGAATCTTTTTTTCTTCATTTCCCTTCTCTAAAAACTGGTGCGTCTTATGGTCTGGAGCGTCTTATGGTCCGAAAAATACGGTACATAAGATATGGAAATAAAACAGCTTCCTTCAAAATTCTGGGCAACTGGTACCCCCATCTGCAACCTCTCTATTTATCCAAATGTCACTATTCAAATAATTGTTGCCGCATAGAACTCTGCCTCTCAAATAATACTCCTTGCAGCAAACACTGTACCATGTGCCAAGCCAGGGGCTAAATGCTTTACATATATCCGTGCATTCTATCTTCTCATCAGCATTACCCTCATTGTGCAAAGGAAAGAGAATGGTTATTAAATCGCTCAACTCATATTTAAGGCAAAATAAAGCCAGGATTCAAATCCAGCCAGTCTGGCTCAAGTATTCGTGCTCTTAACGTACTACCTCCCAAATTCATCCACCCTCTTCTACTTGGCACCCAGTTAACACATGCACACTAGCTTAAGGTTTCCAAAGAAGTGTTTCACAGTTTATATCCTCCCTTTCATAATTTCATAAATATCATATCGTTATATCATTCAAAGAATTTCCTTGAATGTCTCCTTGCCCACTGATTTCCAATTCCTAGCTCTGTCTCTGGAAACATTCCACTTTCCATGAGATACTGATCTTCTTGCCCCACAGATTCCCATAGTTAGTAGTAATAATCACCCTGCAAGGAAGTAAAGCCCCCTCTCTGGGGCAGAGCTATAGCATGGCAAAAATCTGGCCGAAGACTCAGAAAAGGTAGATTCTCACCCCAGCTACATCCCAACCATATTTAATCAAGGGCAAATCACCTCACCCCTTTTGGACTCACAGTATTTCCACGTTGGTTTGAAGCAGGGGTCCTTGACATAAAATTCTATGAGCCCATGGTTCCTACTGAATGTTTTGCTTTCACTTTTAAAAATATATATATTTTTATTGATTTCAGAGAGAAAGGGAGAGGGAGAGAGAGATAGAAACATACGATGAGAATCATTGATCCTGCCTCCTGCACGCCCCTTCAAGGGACTGAGCCGGCAACCTGGGCATGTGCCCTGAACTGGGAATCGAACCGTGACCTCCTAGTTCATAAGTTGACACTCAACCACTGAGCAACACCAGCTGGCTCTTTCGCCTTTTTGAGAAAATCATGCTTTGGGGAGTGTCCATCATGCTGAAGAGCTGAGGAGCACGCCTCACAGAAGCAGTGATGTCAGTCAGGAGCTGGCAAGGAAGCAGGCATCCTCACACATCCCGGCCTACCTGGGCGTAGCTCCCGCTGCAGATCACCGCGTTCCACTGGGTCACGTTCACACAGCTAGGATGGCGGATCAGGTAGTTGTCAATTCTCCCCACGTACGCATCCTTGTATCCTGTCACAGAGCCATCGATGTCGTGGAATATGGAGTTCTTGTCACCATCCAGCTCACAGTCTTCAAACCAGGGGCCAGGCTTCCCAAAGAAGACATTCAGAGAGACCTGAGGGTGGTGAGAAACAAGGACATCCCAAAATGAGGGCTCCTGCCGTCTTAGTCAGCACCCACTGCGAGGATCCTACTGCATATCCATTCCAACTGCTTGGAGATTAAAACAGTCCTGAGTGACAGTTCACAGTTGTAAATCAAGGCACCCAGTCAATCAAATATGTCCATTAGTTATGATAAGCCTGGGAAAAAGGGGCGGGATTTTTCCAAAGCCTTGTGGAGTTCAAGTAGCAAATGTTAAACTTGATCTTTGGCAGTTTCCCTTTCTTCCAGTTAAAACTATTACCTGCTCTCCAGACAAAACTAATCTGCAATAAGAGAAATTAGAACTGTGGGGAAGGAAATTAAGCAGTCATACACATTAAACTTTAGGGGGTGGAAAAAGATTAACCAAAGAACTTATATGCATATATACATTGCCCATGAACAGACATTATAGTGGTAAAGGCCTAGCGTGGGGCAGGAAGTGGGTGGTGGGAGCAAGAAAGGGAGGAGAGAGGGGAGAAGGAATATCTGCAATACTGTCAACAATAAAGATTTTTTTAAATTATAAATGTTATACTTAAGATCTGTTCATTTTTCTGTATATAAGTTATATCTTCATTAAATAAAAATCTATTATAAGTTCTAACTTCAAAACTAGTTAATCATTTTCTTTTTCTTCAAGTGCTTTAGTTACTTGTTCACATGTCTTTTCCTAGTTCCCAATTAAAACAGTCTAAGTATTTCTTTAGTGTGAATAATAAAGTAATAAAACAGGGTCTGCTATGTCCCAAGCATTTAATAAATATCAGCTACTGAAATTCCATTGAGTGCCTTTCCCAGTAGCTTCCATGGTTTTACAGGAGCCTAGTTCAGAAGGACATTCAATATTTCCCAACAACAGGCACAGAGAGCAGGAGCCAAGCACTAGGAAAACCTCTGGATAAAACAATTGGTTTCATACCACCCAGTATTCCTCTTCTCTCCCCATGTTTCTCCTGTAGTTCCCCAGCTGTAGACCCCAGACAAGGACAATTCCAGGCAGATCCCAAATCTCTTCTCGGATCATTACACTGAATTTCCCCAAACCATGTCCTCTTGTTCTTATAAAATGCTACAATGCCTGCCATCAATTTAGGTTATTTTCTTTTCTAAGATATCACTTGAATATTTAAAAAAAAAAATACCCCAGATCACCTGGGACTTCTATTCTCACCTTGAACTCAATGGGACAGAAAGAATAACAAGTTTTAAAACTTTCTTTTGCATATATTTCTGCCCCCAGTCATAAAGGCTTGGTATGAATCCTTTGTTTCTGTCCTTGTCTTTGGGGATGTGCTAGCCCTCCTCCTCCCACCACAGTGACTGTAGAGGAACCAGGAGAACATACTTACATGTGGACCAAACTTCACGAGGGACAGGTTATTTCTGGGGGTTATCTGCCAGGAATTCTTCATGAGGAAGCCAATAGCACTGGTATACCTGTCTGCGGTTGGCACATATTTTTTGAAAGTGCACCTGGTGAGGTGAATGGGCCCGTCATAGATCTGGAAGCCTCTGATCGGGAACGTCCTGTTGAAAAACAAAAGTTGGTTTCATGCACATGGGCCCGTCACCTTAGCAGCACTTCCCTGCCGTCCTTGTCTCATAAAGACAGGTGACTGCTCTGTGTACACAAAACACAATGCTAGAATACAGTGGCAACCAAGACAAGATACCTGATCACCTGAAATGTACACAGTGGTGGGAAAGGCAAAAAGGAAAACAACGGATAATTACAGAGAAGTGCTATGGAAACAACACATAGTAAATCGTAAAGTGGGGTAGGAGAGAAGCTATTTTAGAAAGAATGGAGGCCTGTCTGAAGAGGTGACCTTTGCTTCCTTGAGTCTACCAGTGAAGACCTTTTATCCGGTAACTTACATACTTTAGTTTTGGTTCCAAAATCTCTAATGTGAGAACAGAAATGAATCTGTGCTTAAACAGAGAGAACCTCTTCTCAAGCCTCTAAATGACAATAAGGTGAAATGATATACTTAAAAGTATGAAAGTATAATTCCTGAGGACTTCTGATGTCAAAAAGGCTAGCTAGCTAGAGAAATTGGTTTTATTCACTGTCCTCCTTTCTGCTCACACACAAACTCCTTAATCATATATTATTAACCATAATTAATGTACAAAACCCATAATATTCTGTATCCCTTCGCTTTCTCTGCTATTAAATTCTTTTGATGGCATGGCAGAGGAATTCTATAGCAACGAATTAGATTACAACTCGGCAGTGTTTTACTATATATGCTAGCAACAAAATCAAAGGGCCTTCCTAAAAGTCTATGCGTCTGCATGTATCTTAGAGTTCTCTTCCATAGAAAAGGTTGTACACATACAGTAAAATAAAAACTGGATCCACTGACCAATGAAGAATCTCTTCTGGAGAATCTTTCCTAGCAAGGAAGCAATAAGCATTTTGAAATAAAACTGGAGGCCAACATGTACAATAAGAAGAATGAAATTGACTTGGCTGCCATCAGACTGCAGCCCCTACCCCAACCAGTACAGCTCTCCTTCCTTTTATCGACACTCGAAAGAGGCAGCTACAGCCTAAATGTGAAAAGCACGGCTCTGAAGCCCAAGTAACAGGGTTGAAATCCTATCTCAGCTACTTACATTAAGTTATTTATAAAGCGGGATGATACCAATACCTATCCCATTGGGCTCTGTGAGGACTAAGTGAATAATAAAGTACCCAGAAGAGGGCCTGATACATCGTAAGCATTTAATAAATGTTAGCTATTAAAACTCCATGAAGTACCTTTCCTAGTAGCTTCCATGGTCTTATTCACAGAAGTTCTACCCAGAGCATGGCATTCAATGAATTATTTCTCCAACGACGAGCACAGGAGAGAGGGGCCAAGCACAGGTCATCCTCTGCTGGTAAAGCCCTTCCACCAACCCCACCTGCCCCCATGACCCCGGCCCACCCTAGCCCAATGCCCGCATAGAATGAGCACCTAAGGGAACGGAGGCTTCCTGAAGCCTGACACTAGTTTTCCTCCGGCACATTTTCTCACCAGTAATATGAGGACAACTAGAAACTGTGTCTCGGAACGGAGGATGGATGAATTCGTTCACGGTTCCCTAAAAGCCCAAGAATCTTTCTAGTGCTGAGTGCTTTCTTAATGACTCAGATTATTTTGACAGAGAGCATGCCAAGGTCTACCCCATCCCCCTTCGACATCTGAAACACTTAATTATGCAGCCGTGGCAAGGTTTGGAGTCAGCGTTGGCATCGATCAGCCCTTATTTCCTAGGACTCTTTTCAGTCGGTAATTTCCTTTTTCCAGTGGCGATTTCTAAAAACCAACATCACAATTTGAGGGAAAACTGACCTAATGTCATAGTTTACGGTTTGGCAACTTTCTGTGGCTCAAGAAAGAAGGGGGGAGGGGGAGGAATCACCAGCTTCTATAAAGCCTTAAATAAGGAATGGGAAGAAAAAAAGAAAAGAAAAAAAAGGTAGGTTCCTTCATTATAAAATTATTCATGAAATTCAGAATTATCATAACAATAACAGTTATAATAGTAAGATCAGGTGGAAAAAATATCAGAGTGGGAACCAATCATGCAGAATTATTACAGAAACTTCCAGAAGGATTAGGTTTTCATTTATTGTTTCAATTGAACTCTCCACCGCCAAAGCCATGCTTACCTATTCCTGGGTAATGTCCGGGGCTTCTGGTCTATTCCTCCCATGCCTACATACTTGTTCTGACCACCCTGAAAGCCGTAATTCCTACTTTCTCCAACAAAGAGAGATTCAGACACCTCCTGGCTAGAACCTTCGTCGCTTGGAAAGCTTCCATCACTGTTAAAATGAAAATAACCATTAACCACACAGTTCTAGAAAATGTATACTGACTCTCAAATAAAGGCAAGGTATAACTCAAATAGCTAAAAATTTTCAAAGCAGCCAGTAGCTTTTACAAATACATACTGAATCACCAGGAAGTACCTCTAAACTGTGAACATGCCTCTTAAAAATTAGTACAAATTAACTGTATTGTAAATGAGTGGTTTTCAAATTAGGTTGAAATAAGTGAAATTTAATTTAGCAGCAACACCTGATTATTTTAGTCTCAAGCAACAGTACTGTGAACAGGGAGAATAAATGTGCCCTGAATACAACAATTAGAATCTAATGTTTAAGATGGCAGCAAGAGTAATTGACCTAGAGAATAATATTTAACACAAAAAGTCCAGTTCTTAAAGATCACTGAGAAATTTGACCAACTTTGCAGAAAGAAAATATTTCATGTGTTCCCAACTTGTACTCCCTTCCTTTTTATTCCCATAATTTTTAAGATCTTTAATGTAATGCTCAAGTTTTGTTTCTTCTAAACAAAAAAACCACATAAGTCTACCTTGCTTAGGAATTCCAGCTATATTAACCTACTACTTGGGCATGAATTCAATGGATCATTAAAAATGTATTTTTGAGCCTCAAGTGGTAACAGGAAGCAGGTGCTAATTTATCTTAATGATAATAAATGTATAACATTATGGTGTATTATCCATAAAAAAAATTAAATAAATTTTAAAAATCAAGGGTTATTTTACCTACAGCTTTAAAATAATCAGAAGTAATAAATTAATTAATCAGAGAAGTATTTTTAAAGACATTACAAACCTGGCAAAGGTTAGTCCTATTCCATTATCTGCAAATCTGTAAGAAAACAGAGATAACGTAAGACTTGAACTTACCACTTCATGTAAGAAGAGGTTCCAATGTTTACTCTTCCAGACCACAAAAGTAAGTTTCACCTCCCAATACCTAAAAGCACAGACTCCACAGAGAAGGCACCTGGTTTAAATCTCAGCTTTGCTAATGACTAGCTGTGTGATCTTGGGCATATTACTCAACTGGACTCTCCCTCAGTTTTAACTCTATGTTAAAAAAAAAACAAAAAACAACCTTCCTCATAGGACACTTAAGAGCATTTCACATACTAATTAATTTCAACCATTTAGATAAGATATAGGGCTGAGAATCCTATTTTCTCTCAAGGGCCATTTGGATATTTATAAGATCATTCACGGCCCATACAAGATTATCAATTTAAAAAACGAGCCTGCTATATTTGGTCAAATATTTAATTGACTCACCCCTAATGTGTTGGCAAGGCCGGACCAAATGACTTCATGGGCCATCCCCCACCCCTGATAGAACAATGGCTGGCACATAGCAAGGAGCATATAAGTGTTAGCTGGAACTGTTATTTCTATAATTACTTTTAAAACCCATTAGATCATGGTAGTCTCCTCTAAACTTTTCAACATTAATACCCAAGCTATTTCTACAGATTTAACATAATATTTTTTGCATGATAACAGGCAGAGATGATAAAATGCCAAGAAGCTAAAGCCAGAAAACAATGTTTATCTAGACTCTTAAACACCAAATCTTAGCTCAATATACATCAGATTTCCAAAATTAGACAAATGGAAAAAAGCGAGATGCTTACTGCCTCAAGTCATGGTAAGACATAAGTCAACACACGAAGGTGAAATTTATAACTTTTGTTTTGAGTGGCAGTAAGAGAGCATCAAAAAACATGGATTTTCCAAGAAGAAGGAAAAACATCCAGCTGGTTTCAAAATCTTTATTTAGCTCTCTGACATAGGCCCTGTTTGTTATATAAAGTTAAATTCCCGGTTTCTGTTCAGTCTCATCAGAAAACATTCATGTCACCAGACAAGTTCAGGTCCAATAAAAGCAGCCGAATGAGATTATTCCAAACATTTGCCATCTGTTAATGCTAGCAAACTTTCTCGGCGCTTGCCCTGTCTTTTAGTAACAATAATATGATTCCAGAAACTATCAACTGTATTTTCAGTCTACTCGATTTTTCAAAATAGCCTTAAAAAATACACACACCAGTGCCACCAGATAATAACTTTGTAGAGAATACCCACGCTGAATTCTGGACGACAATGTCTCCCCCTCTGACCCAAGCTCCATGGTCATTATTTTTAAAAGCAATGAGCCTGTCAATTACAGCAGCAACTCGTGGCTTTTCAGGGTCACCATCCTGATGAGGCCGAAACCTTGGGATTGAAGAAAAAGAACTTTTTAAGAAAGGTAATGGCTATCAGCTATTACAACTGTACACTTAAGTGTCAAAAAGATTTAAATTTGACCAAAACCAAAGAAGTAAAAAAAAGATTTTTTTTTTTTTAAATCTCTTAAGTTACAACTTAAATACTGGTATTTCAAATATTGGGAAAAATAATTATATTTATTTATATGTTTATGTAAATGAAAATTGCTTTCATATCTTATTTTTTAAATCAACATATTATGGACTGGCTATTGTAGAACATTATAAACACTAAAACCATTAAAAAGTGAAACAAAACAAAAAACCTCTCATATCAGGAAAACTTGCAAGTTTTCATGAATTCTTAAGCTCCATAATACTAATATAAACTTACTGAATAAATTATTCATATATTTTAACATACATATATCCTAACTTAAAACTATTATTTTAGTTGTATGTTGGTGATATATCTTAAATATAAAGATAAAACTGGATTTAATATCTTAAAAAGGCCTAAATTCAAAATACATTATATTAATTGACTTATCAATTATAAAAATTAAAATTTAATTCTGCTTTTTCTCCCTTCTAAAATACTTATCAAGACCTTAATGAAAAGGTTTAAAAAAATGGTGTCAAAACGATCCTCTATAATAAAAGCCTAATATGCTAAGTGTCCAGTCGTCCGTTAGTGTGATATGCTAATGATATGCTAACAATGCTCAACTGCTTGCTATGGCATGCAATGACCACCACGGGACAGATGCTCTGATTGATAGATTAGCTTGCTGCTGGGGTCTGGCCCATTGGGACTAAGTGAGATGGACCAGACACACTCTGGAGCCTTTACATGGTCCCTCCCCAGCTGGCCAACCTCCTGCGTCCCTCCCCACCCCAATTGTGCATTGGTGGGGTCCCTCGGCCTGGCCTGCATCCTCTCACAACCTGGGACCCCTCAGGAGATGTCAGAGAACTGGTTTCAGCCTGATCTCATAGGCCAGGCTAAGGGTCTGCACTGGTGCACAAATTCATGCACCAGGCCTCTAGTCCTCTATAACAACTCAAATAAATAGCACCATAAGGTCACCTATACTTTAGAAAATCATTTCTAAATTTTACAAAGCTGTGAGGAGGGGGTAGGAGGGAAGACAGCAGAGCCTTAAACAGCTTTTCAAGACCAATTTAGCAAGTTGAGCTTTTCATACGATCAAGAAACATCATTTGTGCAAACACTACTAACAGTTGCTGGCACACAGTAGGTGCTTACTAAATGTTTATGATGGGAGAAGAGTTATGCACAGAGAAGAGCGAGTACAAAGGCCCTTAGGCACAAGTGAACCTGGCAAGTTTAGGGAACTAACACTTTGGCTTTGGCTGGAGAGTAAGAACCAAGGGGGAGAGGACATAAAGATGGGCATGCACCAGGCAAGGATACAGTTCTCCATTCTAAATGCAACTAGAAAAGTAGAGAGTAGAATGGTGGTTGCCAGAGACTGGGTGAGGAGGAAATAGGGAGGTGATGGTCAAAGGGTACAAAGTTTTAGTTATGCAAGCTAGATAAACTCTAGAGATTTACCAAACAAAACAGTGCTTATAGCTAAAAATACTATATTGTATCCCATAAAATTTGCTAAGAGAGTATATATTATGATAATTATTGTTATTACAAAAAGTATTCTTAAATTAAAGAAATAACAATAACAGTCCTAGCTAGTTTGGCTCAATGGACAGAGCGGTGGCCTGAGGTCTGAAGGATCCCAGACAAGGGCACAAGCCCAGGTTGTGAGCTCAACCCTCCAGTAGGAGGCATGGAGGAGGCAGCTGATGAATGATTTTCTCTCATCATTGATGTTTCTGTCTCTCCCTCTCCCTCTCCCTTCCTCTCTGATATCAACAAATACACACACACACACACACACACACACACACACACACACACACACACATATATATATATATATATTTTTATTTTTTTTTTAAAGGAAATAATAACAACAAAGGAGATAGGAAGAAATTTTGGGAGATAACAGATAGGTTTATGGCCTCGATGGTGGTAATGATTTCATGGGAGTGTACTTATGCCCAAACTCAGCAAGTTACATACATTAAATGTTAACCACACCTCAATAAGTTAAGTAGATAGAAACATATATAGATAGATGTGCTGAAAAGTGCCATCAGAAACATGCAATCAGGAAAGTGATATGACCAGATTTCTTTCTTTCTTTTTTTTTTTTTTTTAAACTAGTCACTAGCTGCTACTTGGAGTAAGGATTGTAGAGAATGGACGGTAGAAAGACCAGCCTGGAAAGCATTATATCCACCTTAGATGGTGTATATGACTCCTTACACTAAACAGCTCTAACCTAAGGGATAAAAAATCTGACTCGGAGCCATCACCCACTCTTCTGGCATTGTAGTTGCTGCCAAACAGCTTTGTAGTCATTATATAATGTCAAGCAGATGGAAGAGTTGTGGAAAGAAAACTACGCAATGCTCTAAAAAGAAAACAAAAAAAAAAAAGTACCAATAAAACATCTGATTCTCGGCTGTAGCCATCTCATTTTTTCTTGAAATTCCTATTGATATAAATCAATTATGGACCATGTCCTTGGAAACCCATTATTTTCATCCTCTACCCAACTTGGTGTGCAAAAAAAAAAAAAAAAAAAAAAAAAAAAGGTCAGCTTTCCCAATTTCTCATCATCTTAATTTATGAACTTTCAGCACCCTTCCCCACCTCCTCCCTTAGCTGTCCTCTGCTGTAAATGGACTTGTTGGCTCTCATGCTATTACACTTTCTAACGAAATTTCCCAATCTCAAACCAAGAATTTTCTTGCGTTAAAATTTCCCATCTTTGGATTCCTGTAATTTCACATTTTGAAAACATACGGAGAGGCTCATCTGATTAACTATTGAGTCAACTTCCCCTGTGATGAACAGACTGAGTATTTCCTTGGATTCCATGGGCCCGGCGTCTAATTCACTGGCTGGCTTCTTACTTGCATTAGAGTTTTTATCATTTTTACTCATGTCTGGGCTTCATGAATGTGTTTGGGCATATTCTTTACATTAACTTAAACAAAATTAAGTGCATACACCAGCTGCCAAATGTCTTGTTACACTCTTCTATAATCAATTCTTTTTCCATAGCAACTTGCTAATGGAGTCTTAATTCCTTACCAAGATGTATGCAAACCAATAGACACAGACAACAGCGTGGTAACAGCCAGAGGGAAGCGGGGACAGGGATGGGTGAGGCAAGCAAAGGGATGGGGAGAAATGGGGACATCTGTAATAGTGTCAACAATAAAAATAAAGAAAAAAAAAGTATGCATTTAAGAACTGGTAAGAGAACTAATAGACGACAGAAAAAAAAGTACCACTATCATAATATCATATACACATACCCTATAAAAACTTCTTGGACTATTAAGACTAGATTGTTTTATTGTTGAGTCGAATTAAAATATCAATGAATTCTCAAATATATTTCCACATCCATCCATTCATCCCCACACACAGGTTTTTTAAGGCAGGGAAGGGAGTCAATTTTGTTGTGTTTAGAATTTTTCTATTAATACTAACTTAGCAATGAACACATACCAGTTATAATAAACTCTCTCAAACTAAAAAAGTAGCAGTGACCACCTAGCAAAGATTTCTTTGTTTTGTCAAATAATATTCCCTTCTCTCTCTCTCCCTCCATCCCTCCCTCTCCCCCCTACCACCTCTCTCTCTCTCTCTCTCTCTCTCTCTCTTTTTAATATATTTTTATTTATTTCAGAGAGGGAGAGATAGAAACATTGATTGGCTGCATCCTACACACCCCCTATTGGGAATTAAGCCCACAACCCAGGCCTGTGCTGACCAGGAATCAAACCTTGACCTCCTGGTCAACATTCAACCATTGAGTCACACCAGTCAGGCAATATTCCCTTCTTGTTTCATAATTTGTCATCATCTCTTTGCTCCTTTTTCTTTTTTTAATGTATGTTTATTGATTTCAGAGAGGAAGGGAGAGGGAGAGAAAGATAGAAACATCTATGATGAGAATCACTGATCGGCTGCCTCCTCCACACCTCACACTGGGCATCGAGCCAGTAACCCAAGCATGTGCCCCAACTGGGAATCGAACCGCGAATCAAACAGAGACCTCCCAGTTCATAGGTGGACACTCAACCACCCAGCTACACCAACAGGGCTCCTTTTTCATCTTTAGTTTATTTCTTCTAGTTTTCAGTTTCATATCTTGTTCAGCTATAAGGTATCAATCAGTACCTTATGTTTAATTTAATAATGCCCTCAGTTTTGCAGCTTCCCAAATGCTGTCTAATCATAGCTTTAAAATACTTCAGGCTCAACCTGACCTTTAAGAAGTGATGAGTAATTTTACTAAGTATACTTTCCCTAAGTTTCTCCTGACCTCACTCATGCCTTATCACTGTGTCACAAGCATCCTGCCTCACACCTACATTGCCTCATTGACCTCTGCCTCCCCTCTGACCTACAGTGTGGCTTCTCATAATAAACTTGGCGTCCTTTCCTTAAATGTCTAGCAACAGACCCTAGCACCCTTTCAACATCTTAAGTTGGTCACTCAACTTAAGTATAAAAAATAACACTGACACAGTTCCTACTGAATATGACTTTATGTTGCCATCTTTTCCAGAAAGCTGGAAAAGGTGTTTTTTATTTTTATTGCTGACACCATTACAAATGTCCCTCCTTCTCCCCCAACACTATCCACCCCTCACCCACCCCTGCCACCCCTCCCCTGGCCTTCACCACTCTGCCATGTGTGTCTGGGGGCTATGCATGCATGTTCTTTGGCTGCTTTCTTCCCTCACACTCCCCTCTAACCTATCAGTCTGCTCCATGTATCCATGCCTCTGTCTCTATTTTATTCATCCGTTTATTTTGTTCATTCGATTCCACACATAAATGAGATCATATGGTATTTGTCTTTTTCTGACGGGCTTATTTTGCTTAGCATAATAATCTCCAGGTCAGAAAACTGTATTTCTATTGGAGACATTTTATTTATTTTGGCTCTCGTATACCGCATGTAAAAGAACTTGGTTGAAAGGCTGATCCATATCCCAACCACGTTCTGTGGTTATAAAGGAGAATAACATAGAGCTCAGCTATGAGGTGAGTCTGAGACTACAAATGAGTAAACCAGAACTCGCTTGGTCATCAGGTTTGAGACCTTTCCCTTTGAAACAGACTCAACCAATGTTCTCTTCTGACCACTGGCCATAAATTCTGTATGCCTTGATTTTCAGGGATTACAATAAAACATTTAAGCTTAACTTGTATTTCAATGAATCATGTTCTACGTTAGGCCAAATTTGGACCCTTTTTTCCAACATCTCTCCCTTTTTCTTGCTCTTTCTACAACTCTAACATCAACTTACAATCGTGAAAAGGGGACAGCATTAAAAAGCCCGGCCACAGGACTTAGGACAACAGAATAAATATTTTTCCAAAACCCTCCTTCAAATGTTGAGAACTTCATTTTCAAAGTGCTCCTGGAGAAAGGAGCACAATGGCTTCCCTCAGAAAGGTTTGCTTTGGCAAAATAAGCTTGAGGGCGGTTGAAAGTGTGGACTCTACCTTGCATTGTTATCCAAACAGAGGTATTCCCGGGGGTCAGCAGCGCTAGCAATGGTTGTTTTGACACCTTTGTCAATAAATAAGCCAGCCTGGAAAATATAATAATGGACCGGAATAAATATGAATCCCAAGTTATAGCTATGTAGTAGATAATGATTCATAAAAATAAGGTTTAGATTATTGCATCAATGACACAAAAAAAAAGCGCGAGAAAGAATAAACAGCAAACCACAGGTTATCATGTAAACAGCTACTTTCATGGATATTTTAATAATTGAACTCATTTGGTCATTTGCAAATATTTACCACAAGGTAGGCACTACATAAATATTTGCAAATGACCGAATGAGTTCACATCAAAGTGCCATTATATTACACATTAACTACAAAACTACTGACACACACTAGTAGCAAGACTTGCAATTAAGAACAATTACAATCCAATAGGAGAAGCACATGATAATGGAAATGTTTGGTAGCACATCAGAAAGGAAGTGGCATTCTACAACTGATCATGAAGGATGGGGAGAAATTAACCATGCCAAAGGATAAGTTGAGGATGAAGAGCAGGGAGTGATGCTGAAACCGGTTTGGCTCAGTGGATAGAGCATAGGTCTGGGGACTGAAAAGTCCCAGGTTCGATTCTGGTCAAAGGCATGTACCTTGGTTGCGGGCACATCCCTGGTGGGGGGTGTGCAGGAGGCAGCTGGTCGATGTTTCTCTCTCATGGATGTTTCTAGCTCTCTATCCCTATCCCTTCTCTCTGTAAAAAATCAATAAAATATATTATAAAAAAAAAAAAGAGTAGGGAGTGGGAGGGAAGCAGCTAAAGAACCCAGAGGCAAGTATTTAATAGAGTAATTTATACAAAAAGTCTGAAGATAAGAGAGGGCATAGAACATCAGAGAGCAACAACAACAAAGAAATCTGAGATGGGCTGACAGGAAATGTATGGAGGGAGGACAGGTGAGGAAGGAGAAAGATGCAAATGCCAGATGATGCAGAGGTGATGCGCTGAAGAGTCAAGACAATGGGACTGTTAATAAAAGCAATATAATCTACTGCGTTTTAAGAAAGAATACCCCAACTGCAAGATGGAGAAGACTGGAAATAGCCAAGAAAGGAGGTAAGGGATAAGGTAGAAGACGATGGCAGTAATACAGTGACCCGGAAGAGAAACAAGGATGATCTTGACTCTGGCAATAGAAACAGGGAAAAATGGATGGAGTGAAGATTCTTCACTAAGTAGTATTGGCACCATTTAGTAATGAATAAAATGTCCAAGCAGGAGGGGAAAGGAGTGATTAAGGTTCATGTGTTTTCAGCCTGGGCAGTTAGGCGGCTAGTGGTTTCATTCACAGGAACACATATGAGCGTGGGTCTACTGATTAAAGCAAGGACTTTAGTGTTGAACACATTTTATTTATGTGTCTCTGAAAAACCCAAATCATACTCAGTAGGCAGTCACATAGACTGACCTGGAGTAGATGTGGGATAGTCAGTCCCAAATTTAACAAATTGAAACCTAATCATACACTCATTATTTAGATATGATTAATAAACTATTATAGAAACCTATATGGCCTCATGATAGATGACATTAAAAAATTAATTGGAATGAGGTGTTTTTTTTGTATCCCCTATAATCGGAAAATTTTGCAGACTTCCACCTTGAAAAGCTACTTCCACTAAAAATTATTATCGTTGAGTCAGCGCACAAAAATCATATCTCTGTGTAAAGTTGTTGTTTTTTTCTTCTCTCAAGTCTTCATCAGAGCTTAGAATCAAGTGATTCTAAGCTCTTCAAGTTATAACACACTCAGGTTTTTAAAGGAACCTTTGTGGGTGGGAAGAGAGCAATATATATTTATTTCATTAGGCACTCATCCCTCACTATATATATATATATATATATATATATATATATATATATATATATATATATATATATATATATATATATATATATTCATAACCCATAGACAGACAATAGGGTGGTGAAGGCCTAGAGTGGAGGGTGGGGGTGGGCTAGAAAAGGTCAAGGGAGGGGAAAAAGTATGTAATATTTTCAACAATAAAGATTAAAAACAAAAAAGATCCTCTGAGTACTATCAAGGGGAAGTATCCATCGAGCTGTGATAAAGAATCTGGGCACCATATCATACAACGAAAATATCCACGTGCCTATGAGCACAAAATGAGCTAAAAGTGTTTATCATCAGCTGGTGAGGGATGAATGCCAAATACCATGGAAACTGGAGCTCCTGAATGGCCTTCACTTTACTTGACCTGTATCATTTTTTTTAATATATATTTTATTGATTTTTTACAGAGAGGAAGAGAGAGGGATAGAGAGTTAGAAACAACGATGAGAGAGAATCATTGATCAGCTGCCTCCTGCACACCCCCTACTGGGGATGTGCCCACAACCAATGTACATGCCCTTGACCGGAATCGAACCTGGGACCTTTCAGTCCCTAAGCCGACGCTCTATTCATTGAGCCAAACCAGTCTCGGCTGACCTGTATCATTTTAAATTGGGTCAAACATTCTTCAACAGTACTTCACTATTTACGTACTTTGTATTAAATATCCACAGGACACTTCATCAGCACCAAGAGAGAAAATACGGTTTTTAATCCTTGGAAGCACATTATCTAAGCAACCGTCGCCAACCTTCCGGACCTCAGGGACCACCAGGGGTCTACAGACCACTGATTGGCGACTGCTGAATGTGTGCATCCCTGGACACATATAATGACATTAGAGCCTGGAAAGGAGGAGGGAGGACTCGTGAATCAAATCCATTATTATGACTTCCGACTGCATGAGCATGTGTGTGTTAGCGTATATTCCTGTGTGTTCTTCAGGCTGCATAAGCATCTGTACATTAGGGTATATTCCTGTGTGTATAAACAGAAAACTATGTAGACAGCCTTCAGATGGGAGAGTTAGGAGTCTGCTTTTCTTAATCTCTGGTGACAAGGTCTATCTAAAACGGACATTTCTCAGTTGTAACCATAGTAGTCTATCCTTTACCCTGCAAATCATGTGTACTAAGCTGTTAAAACTTAGGAACTTACCTTAAAACTTGAATGGACCCTGTTGTTATAAAATACACCCAACGGAGTAAGTTCTGGTTTCGTTAACAGCTGCACTCCACTGGATTCCCCAGTAGGTTCCTTGTGAAATAAATACCATATTCCAGCATCCTATAATTAAAAGGGTAAGATCATTAAAAGCTCCTTTTATAAAGCCACTCAGTGAAAACCCTCATAAACTAAGCACTTCACGGGCAAGTTTAATCTTTTTAACACTAACTAGTCATTGTTTCAGGTTAGGAATAGACTATAAAAAAGGTGTACACTCACCTAGCACCTTCAAAGCAGTGCTATCATGCTTTGAGAAAAAAAAAGCAAATTTAATTTTGTTTGCAGGTTTGGACAAAAGATAGAAATAACTGGCTGACAGCAAAATTTCTTTTTCAAAATAAGTTTGCCATTACTATCTACGCTAAAAAGTTGTGCAGAATTAGAAGCAAACAAGCCTTCCTTCCTTCCCTGTGACAAGAACAGCACAGCCTTTGAGAAGTATGGGTTTTTCTGTTTACCTTCAAACCTGATCAATAAATGAGTCATTCCTATTAAACAACTATCTGCCAACATGCAGGGCTCACTGACTTCTTTCAAACAACTCCAATGCCCTTCCTATCCCGAGGCAAATTTCTGCCAAGAAAAAAAAAAAAAAAAAACACCACACCACACACATGAATCAGGATGCTGTCTCAGTCTGGACCCTGTCTATTCCATTTCAGTATTCCTGACCTTACCGGGAGCAGAACCGTTTGAAATATTTTGACACTCAAAGTGAAATATAAAATCCGAAATGAAATGTTCCTAATTCCTGTGACAATTGAAAACCAGCCCAATGTGAAAGACATCTTCATAGGATGGAATTTTGATGAAACAGGCTGAAGAAACTTACAGTCCAAAAAGTATGGCACGAATTCAAATATGGAAAACATTTATTTAGTGCCCACTACATGCCAGGTGTACAAGGCTATTCACAAAGAATTCATAGTTTAATGGGAAATAAAGACAGAACTGAAATATATGTAACAAGCACTATATTAGCTGTAATAAAAAGTCCTTTGGGAAGCTAGAGGAGATGAATTGTGAAAAGCAGATGTACCTATGCACCAAAATGAAAGCAATAGTTAACATTTCCTCCCAAGTTTATAGATGGGTCTTAAAGCAAACTGTTCTGCCCTAGCCGGGTGGCTGAGTGGATTGGAGTGTTGTCCCATACACCAAATGTTGCAAGTTCAAACCCCAGGCAGGTGCATGCAGGAGGTAGGAGAGGCAATCAATCCATTAATGTTTCTCTCTCTCTCTCTCTCTCTCCCTCTCTCTCTCTCTCTCTCTCTCTCTCCCTCTCCCTCCCTCCCTCCCTCCCTCTCTCCCTCTCTCTCTCTCTCCCTCTCCCTCCCTCCCCCCCCTGTCTCTCTCTCTCTCGCTCTCCCCTCCTTACTCTCTAAAATACATTTTAAAAAAACACACGTATCATCAGGTGAGGGTTTTTTGTTTTTTAAGGAAAACTGTTTTGAAAACTGTATTTACCACCTCTACGCCTTGGGGCACAAAACAGACCCTGGAGGAAGACTTGGAGGGCTGTCTTCTTCATACCACAGCCCATTCACTGAGGGCACAGCCAACCCTCTAGGGTACAATGGAGTTTGGGGTTGGGGCTGGAGGAAAGAACAAGGAGGTAGTAGCTGTTTCCTGTTAAACACTGTGGTGTCCAAACAAGCGAAGGGAGCTCTGTGAAAGGCAGTGGAAAGGTACAAGAAGAAGGGGTTTGGTTGACTTTGGGAGGAAAACCCTTGCCAAGACATAAGCGTCCCTGGAGCAGTTTCTCTAGAGTAGGGGTGTCGAACTCAATCAGAGAAGGGGCCAAAATCTAAAATCCAGCCTAAATCGAGTGCCGAATGGTTTACTGAACAGTCATAAACTGTCATTGTGATGGAAATGCAGCGGAGTGCAGTGATGACAGCGCTGTGTGGGCCACATTGCAAGGCCTGGCGGGACGGATTTGGCCCGCGGGCCTTGTGTTTGACACATGTGCTCTAGAGGGAAAAGAAAGAATTCCCAAAACGAAAGGGAAGAACGCACATGAAATGGGCCTTTGTTATTTTCTCAACATGAGCTTCAAGGAAGGTTTCTGGAAACCTCACCAGACACCTTTCACAGACTATGTGCAATGTGTTCTAATCTTCAACCCACAACTTCTGAAAACAACTGAAAGGAATCTCTGCTCTGGCTGTTCGTTTGTAAAAGATCCTGGTGTGAGACTGCTTTTCAATCTATTGGTCATCTTTACCCAAAATCTCATCTTCCAATGAGAAAGTCTCAATGCAAACCTCATGTGGGACTTGACAAATATTTGATAAAAAATGAATGAATGGACACCTGAAATGATTAAAAGTCCAGGCATCTGCCCTGTCAAATAAGAATTTTATGTTTTTAGGGGATATCACCGATAAGAATTCTACCATCACATAAAGATGCCTGGATTCTATTCATCTCAAAGAAAATCTTCCTGAAAAACAATGCTAGGCATTTCTTTCCTTTTAAAATCTTAATAGCCAATAAATATATGAATATTTAGGTGTTGCTGTAAAGACCAGTTTTTGTTGTTTTGTTTTGGTACTGTAGTTTTCAGCACAGATATAATGGTAATAGTATAATGTCCTAAAGATTAATTTTTATATTATAAATTAGCAGTTTTAAGTCAGACTCAATTGTAAGTGTAAATTTCTCCAGCCTTACCCAGGAGACATTTCTGCCATCCAAAAATAGTTCATTTGTTCTTTTAAGTTATTCTTATGTTTGTGAAACAACTCAAGGCACAGTTAATTTAAGGCACACAGCTGAGTTTAGCTGCTTTACCATGGAGATGAAATCCCCAAGCGCATACGATTAACAAAAGGATGAGCCCCTTCACCAGAGAGACCCCTGTCTGTCTTCTACAGAATAACCCGTTCCCATGAAGAGAAGCGAAAGCTTTCTCTCTGCATCCACACTAAAAACTGAAATGGCCATGCCACACCAGACTTACACATGATAACCCAGAAAGACAACGTATCACACTTTAAAATTATACTCCGGAGAGACATGATAACCCTGGGGATTAGCTGACTGCTTCTCCTCCATTTGGCATCTGGCTTACTCTACACAGAGATACTAACTTGGCATAACTGATTTCTTTTTTTCCTTGTCAAGATCATTTTATTGGGACAGTTGCAAAATTCTTTACTTAATTTTTATTATGGCCATGTCTTTTTTTTTTTTTTTCATTTTTACAATGTGGTACCTAACACTGACATATCGTTTCTGTCTATTATGTATTTGGTGGGCACCAGTTAAACAAGGTGAAAACTCAAAAGTGGCAAGTTGGGCTAAATTTAAATGACATGACTTGATAAAAATTCATGATGTAGAAATTATTGAGCATTTCAAACTAACTTCAATTTTTTAAATTACAAATATTCCAGTGAAATATAAATCTCTTTTAAATGCTTGATTGCTTCACTGGTAAGAAATGAAATGAAGTCTGGCCAGTGTGGCTAAATGGTCGAGTGTCAACCCATGAACTAGGAAGTCATGGTTTGATTCCCGGTTGGGGCACAGGCCTGGGTTGTGGGCTTGATCCCTAGTGTGGGGTGTGCAGGAGGCAGAGGACCGATGGTTCTCTGTCATCAATAATGTTTCTATTTCTCTCTCTGAAATCAATAAAAATATTTTTTAATATATACATTATTATGTATAGTTTTAATTTTGACCAATAGCTATTGTAGGGAAGGAACAAACTGTTCTCTAACCTCAAGTTAAACATGAGATAGATTAGCAAGAAAAAGTAACCGAATTTAATGCTCATGTATGGGAACTTGCATACAGGAGTGAGTCAAAGACTCCACGTGGAGGGGAGACTCCAAAATGTTAAAGGAACTGAGGAACATAAGACATCCCGAGCGAGGGATGAGCTGAGATGACATAGGGGCTTCAAAAGGTCATTGCAGGATGATACAAGCTGGCATCATTGATTTAGAAGAAAAGAAGCATCTCAGTCACATCTGCTCTCAACCAGACAAGTAGCACCAACAAACCAATAGGATGCAGGAGAGAGATTGACACACATGGAGTTCCATCCATCACGTCACATCCACATACAAGAACTTTGTCAACATGAACAGAAAACAACCTGAAAGCACTTAGGCCTTATTTACCTGTGAGCCAGCAGCCGCATTATTAATCAGATTGTTGTTGGGATGAGCAATCCAGAAAGTTGAAACAGCCCTGCAAAAAATTTTTTAAGATGATTTAAATAATCATCATGAAATATTCTGCCCACTAAAAACTCCCCCCCGAAACTTCTTCCCCAACCAGCCAAAGACCTTGGCCATCTCACAGGAGTTTTTCTCTCTGCCAGTTACTCACATACAGTCCGTGGTGGGCACAGGGACGTAGTTCCCAAACACTTTTTCTCGCATTGCGGTGCACATGGAGTTGTTCCTGTCTGTGGGAAGGAGGGTGCCAGGCTTGGTGAGGAGTCCCAGGTTGTGGAACAAAGTGTTTCTCTGTTCAACACCATCTTCCAAGAAAAAACAGTGGCCCAGTGTGTCAAACCCGATGGTGTCTTTTATCTGCAGAAACATAAGTGCATCATGTCATCGGCAGCAAGATGGATGGTGGTTTAAGGAACAAGTGCTCTTCAGGGTAGCCTCCTGGGCACAAATGCAAAAAGAACTTTTCATCTTATCTGAAGGGGCCAAGTCAAATGTCAGGTTTTACTGATCTCTTATGAGAACAATTTGGGTAGCTAAAAAGGGAAGCCTCCTTCACATGGAAAAACAGAATTCTCTGTAAAAGCAAGCTAGAGTAAAGGAATGTGGTGCGAAGCTAACTTCTATAAAATTGAGGAGTCCTGCCAAAACCAGTTTGGCTCAGTGGATAGAGCGTCCGCCTGCGGACTGAAAGGTCCCAGGTTCGATTTCGGTCAAGGGCATGTACATTGGTTGCGGGCACATCCCTAGTAGGGGGTATGCAGGAGGCAAACTGGTCGATGTTTCTCTCTCATCAATGTTTCTAGCTCTCTATCCCTCTCTCTTCCTCTCTGTAAAAAATCAATAAAATATATTTGAAAAAAGAAATTGAGGAGTCGTGAGATCTAAGGAGAGGTAACTTCCATAACATGCACCCCTGTAATGTGAGCCTGCTCACCAGCAGGCCGTCGGTTCCATGCACAGTGATGCACCGGGAGAAGCTGTGATGAATGGACAGTCCGTCCACAGATGTCCTGTGTCTGTAACCGCCCCTGTGGTCCACGTCCCCGCACAGGTGGAAATGAACAGGGTACCGCCCCAGCTCCCGCTGCTGGCCCATGTGTTTCAATTCCACATAAGAAAGATGGACGGAAGTGAAATTCTTCCTTATCTGGAAGACATAGTAACCAAAGTCAGATGGGACATTTCATTACAGGAACGTAGCAAAATATACTGTTTCATAGGAAATGTCTGGAGGAGATTTACATACATGTTAAAACATGTACTGTCTTTCACATCCTATTTTACCAGGTCCCCAGTTAATAATTTAGCAAATGCTTCTCCTTTGCTTAAGGGATTACTTTAAAGGGCTACGGACTAATTATCATCATCTTACATTAACAATAAAAGGCCATGTAACCAGAAAAGCTGCAGACGATTTCTGTATGTGTGTTTTGATGTGTTCAAATGTTTTGGTCAGTTCTAGTCTCATCTTGCTATTTTATTTCCATGACTTCCACAATAGTTTGAAAAAGGTATTTCTAAATTGGCCCTCAATATTTTTGTTAGCATATAATAGTGTTTACTTCAGTTCTTTTAAAAAATTCTTGTGATCCACAATTAGGGCATTTGACATTTTTAAACGCTGGATTTCCAATCATACTACTGAGAACAAAGAAATAATACTGACCAACATTTCAGAAATTTCTGTCACAGAAATGCTGTTAATAAGCATAGCCCACTTACTGCACAAACACTGATTTTAAAACACATGCAGCCAAAATGCAGACCAGAAGTCCAATAAATTAGGATATAAAGCAAGCTTACCACATAGTAAGTGCTCAATACTTTTACAGAATAGAAATCTGCATATAAAAGTTTTTCAGAAACATAGTTTGTATGTGTATATTGCCTAATCATGTTTTATAAAGAACCAATTGATCCTTTCATATCAAGATTTATTTTTTTTGTCTCTATATAATTTATTCTTCCCAATGTACTGACTTAATTCTTCATAAGGCAATTCTTAAACAGCTTACTAACCTCAGGTCCAGGTCAACTACATGAAGATATAAACTTTATTTTAATTACCTAAAATCTGCTCTTTGTCATTCACTAGAGAAATAAAATATGATTTCTCCTTAATACCCTTATAGATTTCATTCCAAAACTTTAAAGTTTTTCCAAACACATTTAGCAGCTAAGGTTTCAAAGAACGCATCCAATTCTTCTGCCTACCGTGACATGTCCCCCAAAGGTATCATAATCAAAGAACTGGCACTGGTTTTCACCGTAGCACGCATCTTCCATTTCTCCTTGGATTGCAACATTCCGGGTGAGAATTCCAACCTCGGCTCTCATGTCTACACCATCTATGATCTCACCCATGTGCAGGAACTGTGGGGTTTCTGGTTGATGTGGGCAAGGGAAAAATAATATTAGAACCAAGAAAACATGGAACTTATGTCAAAAAGACAGTCACGTTTTTCTGTAACCCAAAGACATTATCCAACGCAACTGTCCGCTTCCATCCTTTAATACCTCAGAACCACAGAATCCTAGGAAGTGAGGGTATTAGTGATTATCTGGTTGAACCACCCACCCAATCTGACCAACTATCAAATCCACACACAATGCTTGTACCTCCCTGAAGCAGCTCCATCCTCCCTTAATCTGGAATCAATAATTTGGAATCTACTCAAGAATCCATATTCTCTCTCCCGGTCCATTTGTCTTTGTTCTACCCACCTGAGGACACATGAAAAAGCAAATGTACGGTGAGTCCAGAAAAACCAAAGGTGTTATCAATGTCGATAATAGGGCGTGAGTTGTTTTTGTTTCTACTTCAAAGCTGAAGTAGTGTGCACTTGCACATTAACAGCACAAAAACAGCCACCTTTTCTTTCCTCTGTCTTCCTATTTTAATATCATGCATTCTTTTAAGCTCCCACTTTGTTGGGAAATTTAGAAACTCTTTAATAATGGGCTCCTCCCTGGTGTTTTTATTATATAAACTCAAGGGAGAAAATAAAAGTAAATCAAGGAGTTGAGATCATGGAGATTCATTATCATGTAGACTTGTTAACAACAGTGGGAATTTCCAAGCAAAATCAATGCCAGATGGCATCACAGTTTTCTGCGTTTTTCTGGTTTCTGCTTCTGCCCGGTGTTATCAAGAAGGAAAAGCACAACACGGAAACACAGAGACAAGTGCCCAGTGAGCCAATCATCCTGTTTTCTTTTAAAGCAAAAAAAGTTTCCCTTAAACCTCAAAGCTCTAAATTACTCACTGAGTGAGTACTCACCAAGCAGTTACTATAAGCTCTTGAGCACAGAAGCAAGGAAAGCAACGTAACGAGGGAAAAACACAAGGAAGCCCACAACTGAGGCAATGCAGGAAGAAGCTTTGCCGACGGTCAGATCAGAATGAGGAACAGACAAATGCCAGCCATTCTTTCTAAAGGGTTTATAGCGACCATCTCATTGGCACTGCTCTACCTCAAAAGATGTACATGTGAGGATTATGAGAGGAAATACAGTCTTCTTATAATACCTTTTTGGCTCCATTTAAATATTAATAAGATCTACTTTTTTGCGAAGGAAGTAGGCACTCAAAAACCATAGATTTATTATTATTATTAAGAAGTTAAATTCCCACTGAAAAATGAGTCTAATCGAAAGGCTGGGTTTACTATTACTTGACAGTTTAAAGAGAAGTTGGAAAGGACCTTGGAAAACAATCAATCCACCATGTCTTCATCTTTTATTAAAAAAGGAACAGGCATGAAACATGGTGATGGTGTTGATGATGGTAATTGGGGTGGGGGTGCGGTAGTGGTGGTGGTGGGGAGAATATATAACTCCAGGAATCAAATCCCAAGAAAAGAGTGTTTCCCAAAAAAAGCATTCTGCGCAGCCCGATACCTTTGACTTTGACCTGGAAACGGCTGCACTCGGGACAGGGGAGCAGCGTGAACTCCTCGGCCTGGTACATGGAGTAGTCGGTGCTTGCCACCACGATCTGCTCTCCGGGTTTCCAGCTACTGACGTCATCAAGCAGATGAAGCTTCACGCCATCCACGACTTCCACCCGGAAACCTGAAAGAGAGACACCTAAACCGAAAAAAAAAAAAAAAAAAAGCGATGCATTAGCGGGAGATTTTTTTTCTCCTGTGGACCCTCTCAAAGATGAACAAATCAACAGTCAAGAGAAACACACGTTGGCACATTTTTACTAGCGGCCGCTATGTGGAAGTCACTCTGTAGATATTAATGAGTGAAAGATGCAAACACAGATCCCTGCCCATCCACCCCTGACCAGAATGTAGCATGCTGATCGGGTGCTCCTTTAAGAGAGTGACTTTTTTAAAGCAGCCAACCTTTCGGACCTCACGGCCAACTAGTGTTACGGCCACAGGTTGGCGACCGCTGCTCTAAAGGACAACGACAGGAGTGAAAAAACACTTCTACTACGTCAGAGGGAATCAAGAGGATGGAAATTCAGACATGGCACGAGGAATAATACAGTTTCCCTTCTAGTCTTGAGCCATCGATCCTGATAAAACCTAATCTGAGCAAGTCTCAGATTCTGTTCCTTTAGACTGTGATCTACCCTGCATTTTCTGTGTCTACCGAGCACCAAAAAAAAGACACCTTATAAATGTAAAGTGTGTTTTTAATATGTTTATTGTGTCCAGAAACTAAAGCCCATCATGGAATGTTGCCCAAATAATAACTTACAATAACAATAGCTAACATTTGGGGGACTTCACAAGCATAATAACCTTTTGTGAAAGCAGCTATGAGAGACAGGCACTATTACATGTATGAAATGAGGAAACCAAAGGTGAGGGAGCTTGAATAACAGCCAAAAAATGATAGAGCCCAATTTGGTAACCTCCATCTTATTCTGCCTTCCCAAGAATCAAAACAGACAGGTAAAGAGCAAAGGTTATAAAAACTTCATGGCAGCAATAATTCTTACCCAAAATCTCATATTCTACCCCCCAAAAAAATTATCTAAAAAAGGGCAACTGAATATTAACTTTTTTCATTAAAATTTTATGTAAATTTCAATGTTTTTAAAAGATGACAAGGATGATTTTAAGCAAAAATGCTTTAAAGAAAACTAGATTATCCTGGCCAGCGTGGCTCAGTTGGTTTGAGCATCATCCTGTGTACCGAAAGGCAACAGGTGCGATTCCCAGTCAGGGCACATACCCAGGTTGTGGGTTCGATCCCCAGGGGGCATGCACGGGAGGCACTGATTGATGTTTCTCTCTCACATCGATATTTCTCCCTCTCTCTCTCTCTCTCTCTCTCTCTCTCTCTCTCTCTCTCTCCCCCCTTCTTCTCTCTAAAAAATACAAATCAATAAAAAAATTTAAAAACTAGGTAAATACTTAAGTTTTGACTTAAGGGATCATTAGAATTTGTTTCTGTGTTTCTGTTTCTGTTGGGTGGGGCAGATCGGTATTATTCCTCACTTTTTTCCTGGCTTTAGGAGAAAAGCCTGCCTAAGATGATCTCCTATCAGCTGTCAGCACTATGGAACTAGAGGCATGAAAGGAAGTAAGTGCCTCCCCCTGCTTCCTGAAGAGAAATGCCCCCTCTTCCAGAAAGTAGGAGTCGCTGAGACACACACAACAGTCTGCGACAGAAAGCCAGCATGTACCCTTCTCCGGAAGTGAGCAGTCATTAGCAGCGTGGAAGTGAAAACAAAATTTCCCACACAGGAAGTGTTGACTGAGGTTTGTCAGTAATTATCTTTTGCCTGGAATCTTACTGGAGGCAGTTGTACTGAACTTTTCACACAAATTCCTACTAAGAAATGCTTCTCACCCACCCATGATTGTGCCAGAAAGCTGAGCTTCATTCCAGCTTCCTCATCCATAATACCATCTCCCCAAACCTAGAAGGCTGCTTTGAGGCAATGTATGAAAACCCCCGTTTCATAACGCAAACTCAGTTTTAAAGCAAAAGACTCTCTTGAATGACCATACAAAATACACCATTTATAACCTAAGTCATGCTTGCATCATCATTAAAATAGGTAATATTGCCCTTGGTGGTGTGGCTCAGGTGGTTGGTGGTGTCCTGTGCACCAAAAGTTGCCCGTCCAATTCCCAACCTGGGCACATGCCCAGATTTTGGGTTAGATTTCTGGTCAGGGAGTGTGTGAAGGAAGCAGCCAATTGGTGTTTTTCTCTCAATAGATGTTTTTCTTTCTCTTCCTCTCTCTAAAATCAACATAAAAAACATGTTTAGAAAATGTTTAGGTAAAAGGCCACCAAGGATGAAATATTTCATAGGGGGAAAAAAAATAGGTAGCATTGACTAAGTGCTTATTATACATGCTGTGCTAAAAACATCACATTCTTCACATTTGATACTCATAACAGCCCCTTACGGCAGTTTCTATTATCCCCATTTTTCAGATGAGGAAACTGAGGGTTAGGAAGTTGAAGTGACATGCCCATCATCACCGAGTAAGTGAAAGGCCTGGGGATATGAATCCAGGCATTCTTTCTCCAGAAAGCCATTTTAATAAAAACATTCGTTACTGTGCTTCTAAAAACAGAGGTCTGAGCTCAGCCTAAACGAAGCCTTTCTGGATAATTAAAGATATAATGAAACACTTCTTACTCATTTCACATTCGTTTGGGTATAATATTTGGTTGAGGGGAAAAAGGTGATGGGCAAGCTCAGAGCTGCCAATGTCTACCTAAAACCAAAATTCTGGCAGCGATGTGGGTAGTAAAAGAAATTATACAGTGAACATCACTAAGAGAAAAGAGTCAGAAGCACCCTAAGTAGCCAGTACTAGGTGTTATTCAAACAAATTATAGCTCTTCTGAAAGATGGATTATCATTAAAAGTATAATGAAGAAAATATAAAGACATGAGGTACCTTTGCAATATGTTATTTAAAGAGAGGAAAACAGATTAAAACAAAATGAACACTGAGGGAGGGAACATAAGAAAGAAAATACTAGATTATTTGCACCAAAATAATTATCTCTGAGTCATGTGGCTAACGTTTAATTTTTACTTTGTATAACTTGTTTTCAAAGGTAATTTTGCTGACAAATGTACAGAAAGAGAAGACGGAAGGTACAAGATCATGGTCACTGTCACCGAGCATAAACAAAGATAGCTTATCCTATCACATCCGGGACACAAATCTATTTCCGCTAGTTAGCCACACTAACATGACTCGGGAGCCACACACCAAGTCCAATTGGTGGTGCCCAATCTAGAACAGATCGTTGTTTAATCCAGAAAGAACTCTGGCGTCTAAAAGATCCAGCACAGTAGGGAAACTGCTGGTTTTACTCTCCATCCGTTGAGAAATCTAACTGGAATGTCATTTGAATACACTGTCACTTCAAAAATTAAAATCTGTCACAATACTTACCCATGTCTTACAACAGTGTACACCGTGCTTGCCTACCTACCTTCAATCCATTCGCTATAAGCTGTCACGGCAAACTTCTGACCGTCCACAGTATAAAATTCCCTCTGGGCAAGGGCCTTCCCTCCACTGCTGTGGTTTTCATAGTTCCTCACAGATTCATTGCAAGAAGTGCTGCCACCGTTGATGACACCAACCAAAGCCCAAGCTTGCCTGGAAGGAAAGAGCCGTGCATCTGATTATTGGTCATGGTCCTGGCACAGGTGTTAGATCAGGTGTGCCCTGATGCTCATATTTTGTCCTTTGCCAGCCCCTACACCTTTTTTTCTATATGAGGATGCAAGTGCAAACGCTGATTGTGAAGTAAATGGCATCACAGAAGGAAATGCATGTGAATTTCAAAACCCGGTTTACCCAGCTCTGTAACAGGTGAAACACCGCTGACTGACTTGAATTAATGACTGCCTTCCCTCTTCAATACACACCCAGGTCATTCACCGCCCTTCTGGCCACGAACCCATTTCTGTTTCCTTCTTTTATAACCTGCTCTTGTCGCCCTAGCCAGTTTGGCTCAGTGGGGAGAGCATCAGTCTATGGACTGAAGGGTCCCAGGTTTGATTTCGGTCAAAGGCACATGCCAGGGTGTGGGTTTAATCCCCAGTAGGGGGCGTGCAGGAGGCAGCCGATCGATGATTCTCATCATTAATGTTTCGCTCCCTCTCTCTTCCCTCTCTGAAACAAATAAAAATACATAAATAAGTAAAACCTGCTCTTTTCAATTCTCCGCTCTGCAATGTTCTCCAATCTAGCTGCATAATAGAATCACATCTCTGCTTTAGGAACACCTCTCTGCCCAGACCCAGCACAGACCAATGCAGTCATCGTCTCTACAGACGGGCCCGACGTGAGTAAACTGGCGAAGTTTCCCAGGTGATTTGGAAGTGCAGCCACACTGGAGAACCACTGAGTAACAGCGCTGGTTCTCTGGAGTCAGCAGACCCAAAAATCACTTGGAAGGCTTGATTTGCTCGGATACACCCCATTTGAAACGGAGTCTGAGAACTTGCATTTCTAACAGGTTCCTGGGTGATGCTGAGGCTTCTGGTCCAGGGACCACACCGAGAACCCATGAGTTGGAGGTCAGAGCACAGAGCAGTAGTTATCAACCCCAACTGCACATCAGTTGCCTGGGGTCCTGACCTCCACAGATCCTGAAGTAAGTGACCAAGGGTAGGCCCTGGGCATCGGGAACTTTTTAAATCTCAGGTGTATAAGGAAGGCTGAGAACCACTAGGTTAATTGTTTCTTAAAGCTATACAATTACTATACAACAGACTGTACATACTACATGTCTATTTATTAAAAGCAATTGTTCTTGAAAACACTATTTTATTCCTGTGATATTGGTTTTTAAATATATTTTATTGATTTTTTTACAGAGAGGAAGGGAGAGAGATAGAGAGCTAGAAACATCGATGAGAGAGAAACATCCACCAGCTGCCTCTTGCACACCCCCTACCGGGGATGTGCCCGCAACCAATGTACATGCCCTTGACCGGAATCGAACCTGGGACCTTTCAGTCCGCAGACCGACGCTCTACCACTGAGCCAAACCGGCTTCGGCTATTCCTGTGATATTGGGATAAACCTCCCAGAGACTTACTTAAGCTTCTTGCCAAAAATCAAGAGGAAAAAAAAAAAGAAAGAAAAGAAAGAAAAAAAGAAAAGAAAAAAACCGAAAAAAATTACCTTAAGACTCCTGGTTTAAAACATGAAAAGAAAAATGTCAACTTCCTTCTCTAGAAAAAAAAAATACACCAAAATGTAATCTATGCCAGACAGATGGCCGGATAGTCACAGATAAAAGTTAACCAACGTATGCCTACATCCTTATAAATTCCACACCTACCCCTGCCTGGATTTAGCTCCTCTTTGGCTGACAACGCTTTACGGCTCTATTTATATTCCTTGACACAGCAGAAAGAATCAAATGAAGAATGTCTCAACATATTATCTCCTGTGTGAGAGGGAAGGAGAGGGGAAAGAGCAGAGGCTTCCTTTATTTACCAGGACTGCCTCAGCAACTATAAAACAATGTTGTATTCTACTGACACTATCTCCACAACACTCCTACTCCCCTCCTCCACTCGAGGAAAATGTCAGTGCAACCAGAACATTATCTTCAAAGGGGCATGTTTGTGTGCCTGGAGATAATGTCGAAGCCTGGAACGCTGGCAAGGGATCACAACACTGATTCCTCCACCCAATCAGCAGCTACATTTGAAGGGAATTTAGAAACCAGTAGAAAGAATAAAAAATGAATAAATAAAATAAAAAGTTAAACGAACAAAACATTCAGGGCCAATGATCACACTGACCTAGAACAGTGATGGCATAAAGAAACATAAGTTGTAACCCCTGGCATTATTGGATACGGGAACAAAGGAGGGAGTCTAACTTTGAAAAGGTGCTCCAATCCCAGGTCTAGGAACTATGGAAATACGTGCGCATGTGCACCAAGAGGGGAGTAAAAGATCATTCATTGAAGCTCCTAGGATAACAGGGGTCCAAACTGGAAAGCCACCCAGCCCGCCCGCTGTGAACACCTTGTGGCATCAACACACAATGGAAGATAAACAGCAATGACAATGAGCCAGCATTACATGCAACAACACAGATGACCCTCAATAACAGAGTTGAGCAAAGCAGCCAGACATGAGATATGATGTATTATCTGCCCTCGTTTATATGAAATTCAGACACTTTAGCATTCTGCACCCATTCAGGGCAGTTGGTTTTGGCTCCCTTTGGAGAGTGGAGGGAGTGATCAGTGAACAAGATGGGCCACTGGCAGCGTTCTATTTCACGAACTAGATGGTGGCGACCCAGTTATCACATTGTGCTAAGTCATTACACTCTACATTCTTATTTTGAGCACTGTCCTGTGTGTATATTATCTATATACATATTTATATATATGTGTGTGTGTGTGTGTATATATATATATAATTTTATATATATATGTTTTATATATATATATAAAACTAATAACTAGGAACTATAGAAATACGTGCACATGTGCACCAAGAAGGGAGTAAAAGATCATTCTAATGCGTAGCATAGCTACCAGCTAGACCGGATAACTAGCTGGTAGCTATGATGCGCATTGACCACCAGGGAACAAATGCTCAACGCAGGAGGTATGCCCTGGTGATCAGTGTGCTCCCACAGCCAATCTCCCACATCTGGCCAACCTCCCAAGGCCCTTCCCCATGGCCAGCCCTGATTGGGACTGGGTAAGATAGCCCCTATCAGCCAGGAGGGACCCCCACCCATGCACGAATTCATGCACCAGGCCTCTAATATTTAATAAAATATTTTTAAAAACACTTCTTAAGTTTTGCACGTTGTTCTCTGTCTGGAAAGACCTCCATCCTAAACATCTTCTAAACATCTTCACCTTTAGAGAGCCTCCACCAACTAACTTAGGCCAATTTTGGAGTTCCTTCACCTACACTCCCATTGTGGCCTGTCGGTGCAGCAAGTGTCTTATTGTTCAGTTCTCATCTACTCAGGTCTCTGTCTACCCACTAGATTAAACGAAGGCTGAGAGGGTGTCGTTTCATCAAAGACCTCTGGGTACCCAGCTATTAACAACTTTTACATTTTCCCTGGGTGACCAGAGAGCATTTTTACAACATTACAGACCCCTTTTCTTTGCTCACTTTGTCTTAACTCTCTACAGAATTTCTACAGATAAATACTCCAACAACCAGGAAAAACTAAGTACTAGGAACTATAGAAATACGTGCACATGTGCACCAAGAAGGGAGTAAAAGATCATTCTAATAACTAGATCAACCAACCATCAACAAAATAACTAGATCGTCTTAACATGTCAATTTTGGAAATTCTTTTACTTTTCACTGCAGATATTCCTTGACTTTACAAAGAACAGTACGGTAAGCAGAACTGAAACTTCTGTTTTCTGAATTAAATGTTGAGCCAGCTCAAGGATGCGTTAAGAAATCACGGCCAACTAGAATATGGCACAAGAACCACAAATAATACAAACGATCCCTACTCTCTGGATGAACTTCCTCACTCTCCAGCTCGGCCTCACGTACGTGCCAGGCCTCCCCGGACCTGCATCAAGCAAATCAGTAGATCCAATGGCCACCAAAGGATTCTGAAAGAGAAAGCTATGTGTGTTCCACCCCTCAGACTTTTTAGCATGAAACTAGGCTCTAACCTTTCAACACCTAAGGTGCCTTGATTAGCCTGAGTCTCATGACACACTTCAAAAGGTAGTGAAAGAGAGTAAATTTTCCTTACACTGCATCATTTTTTTCCCCATTTTTTTTAGTACCACATTTCTGTTCTAAGATGGGGATCGAGCCCACAACCCAGGCATGTGCCTTGACCAGAAATTGAACCCTGACCTCTGGGTTCATAGGTTAACACTCAATCACTGAGCCACATCGGCTGGGCCATATTTCTCTTCTTTTCGCATGCCTGATGCTACAGTTCACAAAGTGCTTCATAAGCCAAAGCCAAGAAAATAGCTTTTGTAAGCAGTATCCTGTCCTCCAGGCCCCTGTTCCAAAGCAAGAGGCAACCAGTCCTCCAGATGGCAGTGGCCATTGTGACCTGGAGTCAGGCCGTGGTGTGTTGTCTGTCTGTGTCCATTCTCGCTCTCCTGTCACATAGATGTAGACTCTCACCTGGAACAGGAGAAGAAAGTACAAAAGTATGCCCACCTGTAGCCCAGTCCTTGGATCAGCTTGCTTCCCAACCGATCCTGGATCATTTGTATGGTTCCCTGTAAGAGGCTCTTGGCTGCTGAATCTCCAACAGCTATAGCAACAATCCGTCCTGGATCCTGGACCCTCAGAAACTCCTGCAGACGCCTGCTCTCGTTGTGGTATTCGTGGGTATCAAACCTGTCGCTTTCTAAAATCTTGGCTGTGTCTTGGTCAATGACCCTCACATTGAGGCCCCTGGAAAAGTTCTTCTCAAAGGCATAGGCGCCGTAGGTCAGGCCCGAGGCGTGCAGAGTTCTCGCCAGCAACGTCCACGTCGCCTTCTGTGCCCCGTGTAACTCCAGTGTCCCGCCGGCTTCCACACCAATAAATTTTTTGCCAAATGTTGGCATACTTTCACCTTCATCGGACTTGCCATACAAGGCAATTGTCGCTTTGGATGTATAGCGGCATTTTTCTGCTCCAATATGAAGCGCCCCACCATCCTTGATCAGGATGTAACGAGTCCTCAAAGTAATATTTCTGGATCCATCTTTATGGTCCCCAAATACAAGCAGCCCTGCAGAGAAAAACACTGGGGTCAGCCCACTTCGGAAACATCCTTCTGACAGACAGAGAAACAGATTTCACTTGGCAGGTGGGGGGGGGGGGATTCTTCCGCAATTAAGTTGGGTTTAAAAATAATTCATTAAAGGTCTCATTAGAAAATTAAACCTGCTTTCAAAACAGTCAAGGAAGAAATGAAGAGCTCATATCTCAGCACACTAAAAATGCCCATGCTGAGAGATCAACCAAAGGACTTGTGTGCATGCAATAAGCCTCACCAGTGGTCATGGACAACAGGGGGGTGGGGGCATGCGTGCGGAGGGGTTTGGGATGGGAATGAGGGGATGAGGACAAATATCTGATACGTTAGTCAATAAAGAAATGAAAATTAAATTAAAATTTTAAATGCCCATGTTTAAGAGTTTCAACCCATTCCTTTTAGAAGTCAATCTTTTCCAGAATAGTACCAAAGAGCCTACAAATCTGAATCTCACTTTTCCATGTTAACCCATGTTAACTTTCTCATTACTCTCCACATCTGTAACAAAGATTTGGCTACGAGAATTCACCTTCTGGAGCTGTTTCCTTTTCTATAAATCGAGGGTGTTGACTTGAGAGATTTCTAAGGCCCTTCTAGCTCTTGAACTCTATGGTTCTACCTCTAAGGTGACCAGATTTTAACATTGGTAAAGCGGGACACCATGGGGGAGGGGGGGGGGTTGATTAAAAATTTGGTCTATATGGAGCAACAAAAATGTTCATAGAACGCAAAAATAGTATTATAATATATTTTTTTAAATTTCAACCTAAGTACAATTTCCAAATAAATAAAAAAATTATGTATAGTATTATTTTATTCTTTGGCATAATTCTCATTTGAGTGAATTCTAACAAATGATCAACAATGCAAACTTTGATAAGCAGTTCTCGATAGTTCTCAATAATTATTTGTTATTATTAAAGTTTAACATTATAAAATTAACAAAAATAATATAAAACTCATATCCTGGCTAAATAGCCACATGGCTGCCAAAAACCATATATTCCCTTCCCGTTCTCCTGCCGTTCCCTAGCTTGTCGTGCATTCTTTCCAAAAATCGGGACTTTTTTAAAACGCCGTGAAACGCGGGACAAATTGTTAAAAATCGGACTGTCCCGTCAAAAGTGGGACATCTGATCACCTTATTCTACCTTAGGAACTTTGCATGTCTCCGTGGTTAGAGTAACACCATGTCCCAAAGGCTACTGGCAGTTTCTATAGAAAGAACATCAAACGTGCCCCATAGTAAACAGCAAGCTGCTCCCACAGACAGGAACTATTACTCACCTCCATCCTGAATGACTATAGAATTCACTGTGGCATCTGAGGTCAGACGGAACATATCTCCCTCCTTGATAACAACTTGCTTTGCAGAATCTTGTCCGGGATCCCAGTTCCTAAGACGAGGGTTTTGATCTGGGCAATTCTCTGTAAGACAAAAGTGCAACATCCATATCCCATCAGCCCAACGAAATGGGAGGACACCTTTAGCCAAATCAAAGCACTACCATTATGTATTGTGATCTGAAATTAATGGGCTGACATCTTTTAATTTCTTGTCATAGGATGGAGACCCCACCCCTTCCTACCCAGCAGAGATATACCAAATCTTTTACTTCCTCCATACAGGAAAAAGGTCTCACCACAAAGCTAACTTGCTCCCATCAAACTCACAAAATCAAAATAAAATTCTCCTGAATCATCTTCTCTGGAAATACAATAACAGGAAGAGGCAAAACTGAATTGTCCTTGGGCCCACGTTTTAGAAAAGAAAATATGTTCACAACAAACATACTAGTAAATAAAAAATGGAAACTGCTAAGCAATATATACAGTAGGTCTTCCCAAGTTCTTTCCTGTGCACAGTGAGTTATTAGTAAATGATAACTGCACCTCTTCCACTCCCAAGGCAGCAGCTGGTAAGTACCGCTATCCTTAGACGTATACCACTCTTTCCCAACAAAGCTGCAAGGCAAATAGCCAACGACATGACTTCTCATTTTCAGAGGGAAGAAAACCACAGATCAGAGAAGCCAAACCCAAGATTACTCAGATGTTGAGTGATAGGAAAGTTCCCCTTTAAGAAACAAGGTTTACTTTACTTCCTGTAGCCCTTTCCTAAATGAGAATTTGTCTCCTGAAACATAAAGGTATTCTGTAATGCCACAGGTATTTAATGCATGAGACCTTTACTTTCTGCTATAATTTGAAAGAAGGGACAGCGGGGGACATCCCACCAATTTGGATTAACTAATGACCGTATTTATTGAGGATCCATTTGTCCACTCTATACTAGATACTGTAAAATTTATACATGGACACACACACACACACACACACACACACACACACACAGTAATGAGCCCACAGCCCTCCAAGCTATTATTAGTCCCACCAGTTAAGACCTTGACAATTATTTCATGGAATTAAGTTTTTTTCTCATAGCAGCTTCATAATCACTGATATTTAATTCTGGTAAATCAGTGATCATCACTATTATATTGAGAATAATTCTAAACTTTCCTTCCCATGGAGGACACAAGAAATTTTTTGAGTGTGTTCTAACTTAATATTGAAGATCTCTTCAACTTTTCTTCTACCTCCCTCTCTTGCCATAGAACATCTACCTGGAATTCTCCAAAATGTTCTATCAGATGCGAATGCATGTCCCATGTAACAACACTGTACCCAGCTATGGAGAAGGAAATCCAGTCTTTTGATATCTAGAGGTTACTACAATCGTTACATAATTCTCTTTGTTTATAATTATTCCCCAGGAGAGCATGCTTCATTGGAACCATCAACAAAAACTCCAGGCTGTTTCCTTCCAGTAACCTTTATTTAATGAGAAAGTGTGTGGTCTGCAGAAAGCACTGAAAAATAGCTCTGCCTGCCCCATCTTCCTGGCTACCCACTGTTGAGCAGTGGGTGCATTATCAAAGTTATGTAAGAGCAACAACCACAGTGCAGCTGACGCTGAAATACTTCAGCATACCAGATCTTTCCACTGATATTCTGCACTTATTCTGCCAAAATATGAAACCAGAGAATGTTGATTCAAGGAACCACATCAGCAATTCACTGCCTGAAACGGAATATGAAAACATCAGTTAAAGCCACAGATTTCAGCTGATTTTCCACTAACCTAGTATCCCTTTACTGCAAGTTACTTAGAAAGAATAAATCAACAGCAGTGATCTTGGTTATTGTGCTGGAGAAAAGGGAAGGAAAGTCAATGCCATGTGCAATGAAAAGCAACATTACAAGTTCCTAATGTGGTCAGTCTAAGGGCATGGCCAACAAAGATGTTGATATGAACATCTCTCCTACTCAGGTCTACTTAGAAGTATTGACATACCTCTCCCCAGGACCTTAAAGTCTATAAACCTCTAAATCACCCACGGACACTAAACAAAATAGTTGTAAATCTTTTAAGTGGTAAAATGCTTCTCAAATGTTATAGCCAACTAATTTGACAAAAATATGTTGTAGACTAAGAAATCCAGATAACTGTGGTGCCCAGTCCAGGCTGCTATATCTGCTTCTTCTCCCACAGAGCTCCCTGATTTTCACATGGACGGATGGATGCAGTCATGAGGCCGTTCTTTGTTGGTATAGTACTTAGGCTGACTGACAATGAACTTCTTCAGAATCACCCAAAATATTAATATATTACCAACTTGGAAAGCAAAGGCCTTTAAGAAATTAAAAACTCCCGCCGAAACCGGTTTGGCTCAGTGGTAGAGCATCGGTCTGTGGACTGAAAGGTTCCAGGTTCGATTCCAGTCAAGGGCATGCACATTGGTTGTGGGCACATCCCCAGTGGGGGGTGTGCAGGAGGCAGCTGGTCCATGATGTTTCTCTTTCATCGACGTTTCTAGCTCTCTATCTCTCTCCCTTCCTCTCTGTAAAAAATCAATAAAATATATTTTTTAAAAAAGAAATTAAAAACTCCCTATATGACCTTTAACTATGAAGTAATGAGTGATTTTTCTAGACAAATATTTCAGAAATCACACCTCCTATTGGATGTTTTCCTTTTAGGTAGACATTGTTCCTCAAAAATGTTTGAGACTTCTCTTTTCGAACAGTTCCCCAGCCAGTTGCAAACCACTTTTTAAAATTATTTTCATATATATGTATATTTTTAAATTTTATTTATTTAATTATTTACACATATATGTATGTATATTTTTAATTTTTATTTATTCATTTTAGAGAACAAGAGAGAGGAAAGAAGAAAAAGAGAAACATCGATTTGCTTTTCCATTGGTTGATTCTTGTATGTGCCCGGATCAGGGATCAAACTCTCAACCTTGGCCCAAGGAGATGACACTCCAACCCACTAACCAGGGCCTTCACTTATATTTAAAAAAAAAAAATCAAACACAGTTTATCATTCCAATTAGTGATCTTCATCACTAAAAACAAATGAAGGCCTATCTCCCACAAAGGATGAAAATGTGTTACCATAAGAATTCAGTAAAGATTCTTAAAATTACCATTTCAAAAAGAAATACCCAAGAATGTCTTGAGCACTGGGACAAAGTGACAAAAGGGGAAGAAAGAGCCATCCTTTAATTTTATCATTTCCATGGATTCCTTTGACAATTGCTCTCATTCAGGTTACACCTTATATTAACTACTTGCATATTAGTTAGCTAGAGCCAACTTAAGATAAAAGAGCATTTTAACAATATTCTCCTGTTTTCTTCCTTCTTTCTTCTTCTAGGATATGTTCCGTAAGTGCACGCGCACACGCACATGCGTGTACACACACACACACACACACACACACGAACTTACCATCTGGAGCGTATTTTGAGGATATTCCTAAAATGACTGCAAGTGCAACAAAAAATGAGAAACTAGTGACAGCAAAGCAAATGAAAGTATTTTTGTGCCTCTTCTGCTTTTGGCTTCCTCCCTGGGCTTGCTGCTCTTCAGGTGAGAAAGCAAAGCTGGCCCGGGCCTCCTGTCTGACGGAGGGACATTTGGCTGAAGCTTGGCTCTTTGGAGGAGGAGGGGGACGCAGTGGGACAATCTTCCCTGGAACATAGCCGGAGGAGCGATGGCCATTTCCATTCTGAGGTTGCAGGAAAGCAGGGGAGCGTCCCCTGGAATTAGTGGCATGCATGATACGCTGTCACTGCAAAAAGAAAAGGGGGAAAAACGAAAAGAAATGTGAGAATTAGGATGGCTTTTTAAAAAGTACACTTTATTGCAATCATCATTAAACTTACCATTTAAGTCATTTTAAAGTGTATAATTCAGTTGTATCAAGTACATTCAGAATATACACAACCATAATAAGCATCCATTTCCAGAATTCTGTCCAAACACACTCTATAGCCTTTAAGCAACAATTCCCATTCCTACCTTCTCCCCAGGCCCTGGTAAACACCGGGATGACTGTTAGAAAATACCACTTGTATCCCTCTGTGACAGAAAAAGGGGTTCTATGAAAAGTGACCTTACAGGGTGACCTGATCATCAATTCTTCCCCAGGCAGGTCAGGCACATCAACCTCTCTAGTAAAAGACTGATCTTTGCCTCAAGCAATCCCTGTCCACTGTTTCTGTGCATCTAGGTTAACACCCCTTCCAAACACCCCTTTTCGGACCCTTCCGGCAAAGCCACCCTCAAGTGAGCACATAATCCTTAACTTTCCTGTACTCTAATCCCAGCCTTGCCTCCTCCCACCTTCTTGTAATCTTCTTTAAATCCCCTGCATAAAAGGAAGCATTTTTAGTGTTTTTGTCTGTGGTGATCTTGCTTCCAGGTGTATCCTGTTTGGTTCAAATATATTTTTATAAAAATTCTCTACAGGTTTGGACATTCTTATGCCAACACCTAACATATGTGGACAATCACCTTCGCTAATCACCTTCTAATATCACAGCTTCTCAGTCTGGCTGCACATTACAGCCACCCCCCCTAACATCCATGGCCACACGTCAAACCATTAGGTCCGTGTCCAAGCATTGTTATCTTTTCAATGTGCCCCTCCCCGTGTTGCTAATGAGCACCTAGGTTGAGAGTGACTGTTCTATGGCAAATGTTCTCAATTTTCACCGTGTGCCTAAGAATCACCAGGGATGCTTGTTAAAATTGTAGATTCCTGGACTCTCCACCCCGGTGATTCTGGCTCAGTTGGTGCAAAGAGAGCCCTGGATTTTACATTTTTATCGCAATACCCTGGTGACACAGAAGCACACAGTATTACAAGCAGGTGGTCATACTTTGAGTATCATTATTCCAAGTTCTTTACACTGTACTCTGAAGTCCATGTCTTGAGTGACACAAGGAGGCTCTAACAAGTTCCCAATAGACTGGTGTTTAGTGTTCCATTTCACTATATTCATCTTATGGTGAAGCAACTTACGTATTTTTTATGTGTATTATCTCTTTTATAGATATAATTTTAGGAAGGGAGAAGAAAAGAGAGATAGAGGAAAAGGGAGATGAGAGAGAATCATTGATCGGCTGCCTCCTGCATGCCCCACACATGAGATCAAGCCAGCAACCTGGGTATGTGCCTTGACTGGGAATCGAACTGTGACCTGCTGGTTCATAGGTGGACGCTCAACCACTGAGCCATGCTGGCTAGGCTACCTGTATTATCTCTTAACTAGACACTGTAAATTCATTTAGGGAGGAAGTCTAAAGTCTACATTATCTCCTTAAATCCTCACATTTTGGTTTAAAATAGTAGGCAAATATTATGGTTAATTTATATATATATGTGTGTGTGTGTGTGTGTGTATGTGTATGTATATGTGTGTATGTGTGTGTGTGAGCATTATGGTTAACATGATTTTAAAAAATAGCTAACACTCATACGGCACTTACTACCAGGTCTTGTTCCAAACACCTTATGTGTATTAACTTATCTAATACATTTATACAACAAATATCTACTAAGTAGATGCCATCATCCCCATGTTACACACAAGAAACTGAGAGCTACAATGTTTATAAGCTAGTATACAGGAGAACCAGGTCCCAAGCCCAAGTTTTTTACTCTGGAGTTCAGGCTCTGAAGAGTTATACTAATGTGTCTTTCAAAGCAATTGAGAGGCAGTAATTTCAAAGAATCTGTTTTGTAAGGATGTAGCTAGAACTGTGCTGAAAGGGCACAGCACTATTTCAGAAACTCTTCATGCAAAAGTTCAGTCGACTACTAGTATATGTGGTTCTTGCCTAAGAGACGCTGGCACACAAAAGACACTCCTTTTCATTTGTACAGATTTATTGTAATATGTTTTTGAATGAAAGAGTAAAGTTTTAAATGAAATTTTGCTGTTTCTTTGCAGAGAGGGAGAGGGAGAGAGGGATAGAGGGAGAGAAGGAGAAGAAGAGGAGGAGGAGGAAGAGGAGGAGAAAGCGGTGCTAATCCACATACTGGTCTTATAGCAATGACTGTGGATAATGAAAACATGCTCAATGGCTTCAGAAACGTGATATGCACCTTTTCCATTACTTCCCTTCCTCGACAAAAAGAATGTCTCAGAGTCACCTGACTTCATTCAATACCCTTAAAATTAATCTTCTTCAATTTTTGCCAAAACAATGAGTAAGATTCTAGTCCTAAGGGTACCTCCAAATGGCTCTAAATGACAGCAAGTCCATTAACGCAAAATGTGGTCATGAGAGAAGCCACAAACAAGTGTTCCCAGGACCCAAATGGCCTGGAAGTGAACAGGGACAGAAAGGACATCTAATCAGGCACCAATGCTGATTTTGCACAGGGCAAAGGACATCTCAGAGTCCGTGTGCCTGTCTAGTGTGCAGTGTGATTTCTGAACCAAAGCAATTATTGATGAAGCTTAAGCTCCATGACAAAGGGAAAGCAATGGGCTTTAAGGTGCTATTGAAGAAACGACTGCTTGTGCCAAGGAACAGCATGAGATAAAGGATACATCCTGCTGGAACAGATGAGAGAGGATAACAAGGTCCCCTTGATGATGGTCTATTAACAAAGAAAAGACTAAACCAGAAATTCTAGAGTGCCAGCCTCGCCAGGGTGGGAGGGAGTCAGGACTGTAATAAGTGAGTGGAAATCTTTTGTTTGAGGCTGCAATCATCTGACACTTCATTGTTTCAGGGTGAGAAAGGTTGCCACTTAAAAGGCTGGAGAGGCCTCTTGTGGGGGATAATGTGTCTCCAGATGTGCAGGCAATTCAATAAAAGGCAGAGGGGGGCAAAATGAAGTCACCCTCCCCCTGGGAATTATTTCTGTCCTCATGCAAACAAAAGGGTACCCTGCCATGAAAATTCAGATGGTGTCCACCCCAAATTAAAATGATCAAGAGATAAAAAATAATCACGGTTGTGTTTTCCCCACAACCCTTCTTCAAAACTATATTTTCCTACATACGTGTCCTAAACCCACTAGCTCTGTTTTACTGAAAAACTATACATGCGTAAGCAGCAGTCATTCTTTTTCTAAGTATACATTTCTTATTATAAAAAAAATCATCTGCATGCTAATTTACTCAACTTATTACGATTTTTAAAGATATTAGATACACAGACAGTGCTTTAGAATTTCACTTTACATTTAGGAGTTTACATTAGGCATCATATTATGTGAATCGATTACTTTAAAACATATTGATTGCTAGTTACAGATTTTAATTATTCATGGGAGGGGTGGCATTTTCCTCATTCAATAAGCAATCAGGAGATCTTGTGGTCACTAGAGGATTGTGGTAGAAACTAGGAGGATAAATAAAAGATTGACAGCATCCCCAAGGAATGTAATTCCTAAATGCAATTTGAAATCACTTGAAGGCAGAGTGAAGATGACCAAGGCAATACTGTGGTCAGGATCCCAGGCTTTCTCAACAATGACCCCTCAACCCATAACCCTCTTAATACTTGTGGCACTTGCTTGAGTTTGAGAACAAAGCAAGAACCTGATAGAGGAAAGAGGATGAAGTGTTTCCTCTTGTCTTTCCAAAACTTCAAGGAGAGTACTATTAGGTGTCATTTTAAAATTTTTGTTACAGGCCAACGTTTTTACTCAATACACTGTAAATTTATTTACACTGCCCATCATTTCCAGTGGAAAGCACATACCATATAGAAGGAACACATCCATATTTAATGACATCTTTTAGGAGCTATTACAGCCGGGGCTAAGTCCCTAAACAAAATCCAGAATGGGAGCTAGCCCAAGTCATTCATATTGAATTTGGAAATAAATTCCACAAAGGTTTTAAAGAATAATTTGGGGTATTTACATGTTCCTTGAAAGAGTTACCTTGTATTTTATTTACTCTGGATGGTAAAAAGCGGTAGCCCAAAAGGCTTGATAATAATTCATTTAAAAAATTAAATCATGCAACTAACTTGCATGATTTAATTTAGGCACTGGGAAATCAGGCAAAAAAAAAAATCAAAGTAGATAATGAAAGAACTAAGAATATGAAAGCATCATACCAACTTACAAGGTATAAATGCAAATGCTGAAAAGGGGAAACATTTAAAACCTAATACTTTTGTCTAATTCTTAGTTTCCCTAACAACAACAACAAAAAAAAATGCCTTAAAAACTTGCTGTTATTTTAAATAAAATTATTCTCTTGGATAAAGGGTGTATAACCTTACATAGTAACTCAAGGTGGGAGGGACTTATAGAGTTGGCAGGAGCATTAAATTAATTTATTTGGTAATACATTACAATAAGTAATCATTGAAAGTAATTACTTTTAAATTTCAAAAACGGTAAAGGAGATCATGATTGTTTGGGCAGGAAGTGATTTTAAGAAAATTGAGATATTCTCATTTAAAATGTTCAAACATGGTGCTATCTCAACCACGAAGCCTTCTCAGGATCCCACAATTTCCCTGCTTGTATTTCCCTGTCCTGTTTAAAACTCTTAATAGGTCATCTTGCTTTCTGCCTTATCATTCAATTATCCATGTACCTGCAATCTCCTACATTGACTAAAAGCTTCTTAAGAGCAGGAATGTCTTACTTGCCTTAGTCTTCCCACAGGGCCTTACACACAGTAGGTACTCAATAAATGCTTGTTGAACTTAGATCTCTCTCTCTCTTACACACACACACACACACACACACACACACACACACACTGGAATTTCTAATCTACTCCTTCTTCAACATTTCTTAGAGCCGCT